AAAGATCCCCTGTTCAAAAGAACTGTTGACAACGTGGGCTAGTACACTAGTAAAACTGGGACAGCTGTTAGCGATTTTTAGAGGTTCAATTTTAGTGTCTAGTGTGGCTTTATTCTTAAGCAGGTTTATGACGTCCTGAATTTCTGTGGCAGTGACTGGCTTTAAGTAAATACTACTTGGAGTGGCGTTGCGAAGTGTGCTATGGGTTCCACCAGGATCAAAAGTGGTCCTACTACTAATTTCAGACTTAATTTTAGGAGCGATGTTTGAGAAGTAATCGTTAAATTTTTCTGCTACAGCTGCCGGAGTGCTGATTGAGCCGTCTTCGTCAGTCAGTTTAATTGAAGTATGTTTAGATTTTTTCCTATTAAGAAGACTGTTTATCATTTGCCACTGCTTCTTAGAATTTTCTTTGTTTTGCTCAAAAAATTTTTTGAAGTGCTTGTTTTTAGCTTTATCGATGTGTTTATTACAAAACTTCTTCAGACGGTCATATTTACTGCGGTTACTATCAGATGGTTCCTTAACAAAATCATAATATGACTCATTTTTACGTTCTATAGCTTCTTCGAGCCAGGGCAGCATCCATGGTTTCGGATTAACACGTTCATTTTGTCTTCGTGATTGTCTTTTTGTGGGATAGGCAGACTCGTAAATCTTATTATAAGCCGTATTTAAATTATTGAACTGTTCGTTGGCATCATTGGTATTGTTAAAAATTTCTGACCAACTTTCATCTGTAATTAAGTCTCTGAATTTTTGATTGTTGGTGTCGTTAAATCTACGTGTTTCAGTTTGAGATACATTTTGTGAGTTAGACGCAGAGCGGTAGCTGCTGGTTGGCGTGTTATCAAGATTTATTGTAGTGACTATTGCTAAGTGATCAGACATATCTGTCGTTAAGACGTTACAGCTTATTGTATCCTCAAGATTGTTTGTGTAGATGTGGTCAATAAGCGTGGCACTATGGTCCGTTAGGCGAGTTGGGCGTGATACAATTTGAATAAAACCGTAAGAGGACGCAATATCTATAATGTTCTGACATGCTTGGTCGCTGCTATGCTTCAGTAAATCAAGGTTGAAATCTCCATGAAGCGTCATATGTTTACGGGTGTGTCTCCCTAGGTTGTGCAGCGTATTTTTGAAAATTTCTAGAAACGCTTCAGGTCTCCTAGCGGGAGAACGGTAAACATTGCCAATTATTTTCGTTCTGTTGTATCCTTTGCACTGATGGAGCTTGATAAATTGGAATTCGCCACTAGTATTAGTTGGTTCAGGGTTTGGAGTGAAAATATCAATTTTATCATAATCGACTACACGTTTGTGTACATAAGTGGCTAGCCCCCCACCTTTTCCAGATGGGCGAATTGGATCCTGGATAAATGGTTCATGAAATCCATCTAAGGTAACGTCGTTTATTCCGTTCGGTAATTTCCCTAAAGTGCAATTAGTTTCGTTAAAACACAATATATCATACTTATCATAAGTCTCAATATCATCACGTAGTTGATCTATATTCTTAATAAGGGATCTTATGTTCATAGAAAATGTTTTAAGTTGAGAGCAGGTAGATTTTTTCACGTTACGTTGTTGTTTATACTGACAACTAGTTAGGAAAGATGAAATATTGCTCCAAGTTGAATCTTGATGCTCTTCGTTGGTCATGGCGTCGCCAATAAGATTAAATCGACTATTCTGATCGTACGGATTAAATATGTCACTATTAAGTTTACTGTAGTCGTCATAGATTTCATAGTAGGTTGCGTGAAATCCAGGAATGATACTTTCACAGCAACTCGTACAGCCTAAATTATCCTTAAAACATTTGACATGGACATTACTTTGACACCATGAGCATGTGCGAATATTTCTAATAGAGTAACACCAGCCGCTGCAGCTTGAACATTTGATCTTGACTTTGTTTTCAGATGTAACAGTGGGTTCCATTTATAACTAAATATTATGATTATGATACTGATAGTATATAAAACTATAGTTCAAATCAGATTCTTTCACGAGAACCGGAGGTCCTGTATGCTACAGAATCGTGATATGATTTAAAAGTAAATTATATTATTTTAAGCTAAAATCGGATAATTAAGTGAAATAAAGTGTCCTTATCTAGGGCCTTATCAGTATGATTTAAATAACTGATTTGGCTAAAAAATAGAAATCGAATAAAGTGGTTGCTTTTGTGTTGTGTAGTTTTGTGAGGTGTTATTTGTATTTGATTTGTTTGTAGCGTTTACGTAATAAGGGACTATCGCACTGAACTTGAGTAATACTGAAGAGAGCGCACTTGATTATTTATAGATTTGTATGTGAATTTTGAATGTTGTATAGAGTTATGAAATCTCATTGATTTAGGATGATACAGATTTGTAGAGTAAGATGTTTTGTGTGCGATCGGGTGATAAGAGATACTGATAATGGATGAGCTTATCAGATAATGAGAAAAATTCCACCAATCAGATCATTTCATTATATGATCTATCTTGGTAACGATCTGTTAAAGGTGGACTGGAAGTTGAGAAAAAATTGAATCGTATTTTTTAATCAGAATGGTATCAATGATTTGTAAAGCGCTCAGCTTCGGTTATATCTGGAGAGACTGTTAGGCTTGTGGTGATAGAGCCACTCACAGTTCCTGTGACGTCTCTGTTCAGATCCACATAACTTGCCAACGCAGTTAACAAGTTCATGTGCCACTACCCTTTGCACCTCGTGATATAAGTGGATGCCATGTCTGTCGTTGCGGTCCCATACGTAGTATGAGTTAACACGCTTGATCACGGCATGGGCATCGAAAAAACTCAGATTTGGAATATCCTTAGCCAGGTTCAACATTATGATATTAAAAGCGTCAATCTCTGCATTCAACCAGTTAAATTTAGTCATAGATAAAGCACAAAACATAAACTCGGTATTCTTGTTATTGTTACAAGAGTCTATAAAACGGGGACAGAAATTGTCCGCAAGACTCCTGGCCGACTGCCCATACCTAGCTAGGTCATTAATGCCGCAGGAAAGTACGACTGCTTTAGAATGTTTGAACTCATGTTGATGTTCCAGTGAGTTCACTAGTTGATAGTTAAGGCGCTTTTGACATCGGTGGCCAGGTATCTGGTCGAACAGCCATTCTGGTGTTTCTCGGTGTATTGAGTCGTGAATAAAGAGGACTCTGGAGTGACGGGACGTTGGTGACTGTATCTGTGTAGGTGGTGCAACAGGCGGGACCCGAGTAGGGGCTGCAGGTGCTGGCAAGGCCGTGGGATCAGGCTGTTTCAACTTGCGAAGAGTGAGCGAGATTCGTGGCTGCCTTAACATAGGATCACGTTCAATGCCGTGCTGCCAGTGGTTCTGATCAGATCGAGACATTGCAAAGACAGAGCCGTGCTCAAGCGGGATGTTATGCTCAACGAAAGGGCCTGTCGACGTTGACATTCTCATAATTCTGGTAGAGCCAAATGATGCAGTGTAAATCAGACTATCTTCTACAATGCTAGATTCGCTGTCACTATGCAATGGAATACCAACTGACCCGTCCTTATAGTAAGTACAGAGGCAGGTGTAGTTCGTGGGAGTAATGTCAGGATCGGATTTATGCAAACAATCAAAAATGCGCTGTAGGACAGGTGGCAAGGGCTTATCATGGGATGCACGGTGGTTGGTTCTGCCATAACTGTAAGGTACCGAGCCAAAATATGACGTTGAACGGCCCCCCGGGTGTTTCATGTTAAAGTCAAGCTCGCGGTAGATTTCATCAAAAGAAAGTTCACCAAAGTCACAGTCCAAAAATCTTACCGGAGGTGGTGGGTTAGGTATACTTTCTACTTCACCGGAGTGTTAAGTGCTGTTTCCTTCTTTGAATTTAACACTTTCTTGCTGCTGTTTATCTTATCAACATCAATTGGTCGTCCAATTGTGAATTTAGAATTGTCTACTGTGGGAGTTCTCGTGGTTAAATTATCAGTGTTAGCCTGCAAATGCTCCTTCTTCTTCAGACCCGTCGATGAAGATTTATCCATAATCGTCAATTTGCTTTGCACCGTCGGTTTCTTAATCTTTGGAATCCTAAAAGTAGGGACAGCTCTCCTCTTGAATGAGTTGATTGTTATTATCGCAGTAGTGATAACATCAGCAGATGATTCGTCTTCAGAATCATATTGAGTTCTAGGTTTTGATGAATCAGCAGCCCTTTTTGAAGTGTTGACAACAACTGATACGTCCTCAGTAGATGGTTCGGGTACAGGGATTACAGCTGGAGGAAGCTCCGGAGTATCAATACCTGATGATGTGTCCTCAGTAGATGGTTCGGGTACAGGGATTACAGCTACAGGAACCCTTCAAGCGAATGAGCGACTCTCCTGATGCCTTCGCTAAATTGCAACGTAAACATCTGTCGTATGTGAGACTTTCCATAACCCTTCCGCCAAGCCATATTCTTTTTTCGTATTATATGAATGATTATATTAGTAAATTATACAATTATGTGTATATATATAGATACAAGGTGTTTTTTTTTGTAGAGTTATCAAATCAGTTACAACTACAGAAAACAATTGCAAGAGCGAGGTACTACTAGTACTAAAGGCCAACACTCATAATTGAGTTTAATTTGGGTAATTATGTTAAAATTTGAACCGATTAGTCAGCCAAAATCTGATTTTTAATTTATGTTAAAAAAGTTAAAAAAGTTAAAGTAATTAATGTTAAATTCCAAAATCTCGATCTTAGAATTTAACTTTTTTAACGTGGACCCCCCCCTAATATAGGATGTTTATATATCATATAGGATTATTATAGTTTTAGTTTATTGTCTAGTTTTAAATAATTCAGATTTTTCTAATTAGCGATAAAAATGTTCTATTGATTCACGCTTATGCAAATAAAACTAAAGCAGAAAACTAGATACATGATGTACTGACAGTACAACTGTACAACACAAAACAAGATGTCCATAAAGTATTAAGAAATAAGTTATATTCCAAATTATATACCTGACCAAGGAAGACTTTCCTCTCCAATAGCTCAGGAGGTTTACAACAGTTCATACTACCCAGGCATTGTCCGCAACTGAAAAAGTTTCATCATTAATGGTCACATGGTTAAAATATAAAGAAACGTTACTGGTCACATGGTTAAAATATAAAGAAACGTTACTGGTCACGTGGTCACTGGTCACGTGGTATAGCTGTAAAGAACTGAAAACTATATGAAAACTTTACTTAAACGTGTTAGATATCTTTTTAAGTTAATAAAGAGGCTGTTTCAAACTTAAAAATTTTTAATAATTTTGGAAAATAAATTCACTATCACAACTGCAGTTGTTGCTAATGTTATGTCAGGTTTTACCTTAGAAACGATGGGGGCATTAATCTAAAATATAGTCTTAGATTTAATAATGATATTATACTGTATGAATTGATTTCATTTGTTAAAGAGGACATCTTCACAGTTCACAGTTCACACAGATTACACAGTTCACACAGTTCCCGCAGATCACACAGTTCATCATTTATTATAGTCAGCATAAACAAAACAAAATACACACTCACAAAAGTAAACAGTAACACAACAAACATGTTCAATGTGTACACTGTACAGGAGCAATGTACAATGTACAATGTACAATGCAATGTACAATGTAAGTGGGCTAAAGCCTCTATTGTTTGCATACAAATTACAATATACTCCTAACATTACATAACCCCCTTCTTTGTGCAAAGGAATGCAATTCAGCATAACTCTGTAGATTATACCCATAATTTACTGAATAAGGGGTCGTTCACATAATATTACGTAATCAATTTTTGGCCGATTTTTAACCCCCACCCTCCCCCTCCGTAATCAGTTTTACACATAGCTTTTGCTCTTTTGTGTCAAAATTACACTAGCGTAATCATTTAGAACCCCCCCCCCCCCCGGCCCCCCTCGACTGATTACGCAATATGTGAACGACCCCTAAGTAAGATTTAAGTAATACAGTAATATTGTGTATTATTTTATTGAATAGATTAAGAGGTATGTAATAACTTACGACTGCTGTATAGTGTATAGTGTATAGTGTATAGTGTATAGTGTATAGTGTATAGTGTATAGTGTATACTGTATAGTGTGTACATATTCAACATTGCTGCCGTAGATTTTTTAACAAAATAATGGCAGCAATTGATACAATCTAAAGAACTCACAAAAGGCAAAGGGTGGTGTCCATGAATTTTAATGACCCGGTTCGTCGAATATCTTGATTAATCACTGAACAACAAAGAACAACATGATACAGGAGAAATGAACCATGCAAACCAGTTCTCTATTTATGCTAAGAGCCCAACATGCAACACTTGTTTACACAGCTCATATTTCCTCATCAGCCAGCAACAGTTATCTTCATGAGTAGAAGTGAGAAATAATTAATCGGGTATGACGTGATAAAAATGGTAACGTTTTTTACCTATTTATAATGTATAAAGTTAATTGATTATGTATGGAAATAAATGACACAACAATTGCATTGCATGTCTCGTCCTGTTGAAAGATTTAAGAAACTGACGATAGAACTGACATGATGGTAACAAGCTTATAACTTTCAAATATTGCATTTATGCTTAGAAATCAGCAGTGAGATATTATAGGAATAGAAAGAAAATAACAAACCGAAAAATTAATTCAATGTGAATTCTTTTAGAAGGTTTCCAGCAAATTATCATCTATGACGTATTATTTGTTTATGAAATGGCGGAAATCAACAAAGACAAAGAAAAATTCACACAGAATCAGCAAGAGAAATCATAACAATGATCACTAATGGTCACTAATGATCACTAATGATCACTAATTCACTACCTCTGAGTGCAAGACATGCCGGGCTTGGAGTACTGGTTCTTGTGCTGGTATTTCTTATTTCTAGCTTGTATCTGGTAGATAACCTCGTCGAATGAGTCGTCGCTGGAAGAAAAAGTGTAGTTACATTCACCATCATCTGATTTGTATTGAACTTGGAGTCATTCTGTCAGTACTTGCTTCAATTTTAGGTTATCATCAAAACGGTTAACTTAAAATTATCCACAGTTATAATTATGTACGGTAATGATTATGCACGAATTGTTTCACTCAGAGAATGATATTTGTCACTAAGTCAGATCCATTAAAGCGAATGCTGATAAGATTGATATTTTTAAATTTTAGAATTATCCATCATTTACTACTCGGTAACTACACTTTCTCATTTAGCAAGCGAATATTATGTAATTGAGTTGATAGAATCAATGATAAGCAGTAAGTTTTGTAAAGCTGAGACAATGTCAATAAATTAAAGTAAAAACTGCTTGCAGAGATGATCATAAAATAACTTAAATCTCCCTCTAAAAAGTGTCCCTAAAATATGAAATCAACTATCATTGAAAAGCTGTAAAGGCCTAAAATTCCAATTAACTCCATTAAAAGAAAATTCATACATTTTCGATTGTTAAAATTCCATCTGAAAAAGATTTTGTGTTTTCACGATATCTCCAATCCTTGAACAGTTTTCTTCTTCTTTTCCACCTCTGTCGGAACAAACACTTCTGCAGTTTTCTCTCTCATCTCAGCAACAGTAGCGTCCTCCTTAGCCCATTCTACCACAAGCCTTCTACCGTAGATATGAGTGCTGTCACCGGTTGCTTCGAATGCTTTGCGAGCCTCTGCGATGGATGAGAATTCCACAAAAGCAAATCCACGGTGGTCTCCAGTTCCTGCCAGCTTTTTAGGTAGGCGAATATGCTTAATGTCACCAAAGGCACTGAATAGTTTGCGGAGATCTTTCCTTGTGGTTTCGAACGGAATGTTTTTAATGAGGAGTTTTGCTGAAGCCTCTTTGAGGTTACGTGCCTTTTCTACAGTTTCAGGTACTTTCGATATTTGCTTCTCAGAAAGTTTTAACTCTACCGCATAATCCTGAAGGAGCTTACCATTTAACTTTTTCATGGCATCCTTAGCTGATTCCTTAGAACCAAATTCAACAAAGCCATAGCCTCTTGACAAGAAACCATTTGCTGATTTAGGACTTGGCTTCTTCGCAATGGAAACACTTGTGACACTGCCACTCTTCTCGAAGAAAGCTTTCAGCTGTGCCTCGGTCGTATCAAAGTTTAAGTTTTTGACAAAGAGCGTAGCATGTTCCATATTTTCAAGATCCTCATCAACTGTTTTATACACTTTTTTGTCGGATGGTTTGAACTGTTCTGAAAAGGTTTCCTCGGGTGCCCATTCTAAGTACAAAGGAATATGCTTGAACTTGGAGTAGGATAGTTTTTTGTAAGCTTTCATTGCTTCTGAAGGATCGAGATATTCTATAAGAGCAATGGTACCAGTAGGGGGTAGAACTAGTCGGCCTATACTACCGTGTTCACTGAAGAGCTCATTAAGTTCACGTTCTTGTGTACCGAATGGAATGTTCTTGCAGACGATTATCCTCTTACTGCGTTTTGAACTTGTAAAAGCGTCCAGGATGACACCCTCATTTGTTAAGAATTCTTTAATTTCTTGTAAAAGTTGAGTTTCTCCCAGAGCTAGTTGAATTGCGGAATTTTCACTGTTCGGATCTAGGACATCGCTTTTAGAGACTTTCAACCGGTGAGCTAAGTACTCTGAAACTGCGTTCTGGTTCAAGAAAAGAGTGTTCCAGCACTTTCCGTCTTGCAACGACTGTTTTTGTTTCTTCAGCTTCTTTTTCTTAAAATCAGTGCTGTCGTCTTCATTACCTTCTTCATCAACTTTATTACTAGGGATTATGTGAATGAGTCTGCCTTGAAATGGTTTAAAAGTTAATTCATTCGTTGCTTTTATGGCATGTTCTGGGAAAAGGAATGTCACATAAGCGAAACCTTTTGTTTTGTTATTCTTTGTCAGAGGTAAATCAATAACTGATACAGGACCAATCTTTTCAAAGTGAGATTTCAGTTGTTCATCAGTGCATTCATAAGGTAAGTTTCTGACAAACAAGCACCCTGAGTCTGCAGAATCTTTAGACTCATCGGGTAGATTGGAACTGAATGTAAAGTTTTTTCGCTGATTCTGGGGAACACCATCTTTCTCAGCTTTGGTTCCAGTATCCCTGAATACCTCAACATATCTAGGACCCATGTACTTCTTGTTGTATTTTAAAGACTTGCGCAGATCTGATTCCGATTTGAAGTCAACAAAACATTTTCCAGAAGGTCTACCCTTTTTGTCTAGAGTCATCCTGACTGTTCTGTATGCTAGGGGATGGAAGAACTTTTTGATATCAGCCTCAGTGGCAGCAAATGGGATCCCCTTCAGCACCACGGTGTAGCGATGGGATGGTATTTCTGGACCACTGACTTCATCTGTTGTTGGGACTTTTGAAGGCTCTAATTTTTTAATCTTGTTGGAAGAGCCTGTAACTTCTTGGTCGTATTCTTCATCACTGGAGGAGTCTGAAACTGCTTCGTCGACATTCCTTTTCTTCCCAGACATAACTGTTTCATCGTTACCCCAAATAGTTCGATCTTTTTTGTGAACGTCCAAAAATTCCTGAAATTCTTCATCCTCCGAGTCACTTTCATTGCCAGACTTGAGTTTCTTTCTCTTTTTTTCGATCGCAGTGCTACCTTGATTTGCATCATTGGCGCTGCTACCTGCCGAGTACTTACTCCAAGGTCTAGCAAGATTCCCATCTCCAAAGGGGATGGCACTTTCTACAACAATTTTTGAGGAATCGATAAAAGTTTTATTAAAAAACCCCATTGCTTTGTGACTTTCATCATCGTTCTGAAAACCAACGAATGCGAATTTGCGAAACACACCATCTTTTGTCTTCATGAGTTTGACATCAGTTACAGTCCCATGGGAAGAAAAGTGCTTTATGAGACGATCGACTGTGATTGTCTTAGGGAGATTCTTTACTATAACTCTAGACATCCTGAACAGATATTTAATGGTTAGTAAATTAGGAATCATAATAGTTTTAATTGAATGCTAGACTCATATTTATAAGTGTAGGTGATCTTGGAGATATATATTACATTTACAAATTCTGATACAAATTCCGGAAAAATAATTTATGAACTGGATGCTGCCCAATGACAAAATTAGTTTCAAGAACAAAATCAGTCGTAATCATGACTAATAAAGTAATACGGTCGGTGACACAAACATCCATTATTGGAGAAGCACATGCATGACGTATTAGTTATTTCAGCTGAAATATGAGTAAAACTTTTGTAGTAGCGAAAAAAATATATTACATCACAAAAACTAAAAACAAGAAAACAACAGCTCGGTTGGGTTGGGACGCTGCACAAACCCATCTTAAAACCTACCCTGTACAGTTACCAGTTAACAGTAACCAGTTACCAGTAACCAGTACAGTTACTTGATCAACTGGTTACCAGTAACCAGTAACCAGTAACCAGTAACCAGTAACCAGTAACCAGTAACCAGTACAGTTACTTGATCAACTGGTTACCAGTTACCAATTACCAGTTACCAGTACAGTTACTTGTTCAACCAGTAACCAGTTACCAGTAACCAGTACAGTTACTTGATCAACTGGTTACCAGTTACCAATTACCAGTTACCAGTACAGTTACTTGTTCAACTGGTGACCAGTTAACAGTAACCAGTAACCAGTACAGTTACTTGTTCAACTGGATACCAGTAACCAGTAACCAGTAACCAGTAAACAGTAACCAGTAACCAGTAACCAGTAACCAGTTACTGGTATATTATATTATATAATAATATTAGATTGCTGGCATAACTCACAGAACTTGTACATATTTTGATACGTTGCGAGCTGGTTTGAATTCTTTAGAATTCTATATTATATTATATAAGGAATTAATGCTAACAATGGACTTAGATTCGATATTTTATATTCCTCCTTGAATTCAGTGTAATACTGTTCATACTAATACGGGGCTTAATGTGCTCAACCAATGATCACTCCAACAGCAGAATATTACATAATTAATTAAACAAAGTACGGTAATGAGTATTGACTTAGTATTAAATAAAGTAATGAGGATTGAAAACTAACCTATCAGAGTCCTTATCGAGAAGTGGAGTAGCCGAACTTCTGTTCCTTGTGTTAGAGTCGGTACCGTTACCTAGCACTGAGCCGCCGCGCTCATACGGCTCCAACGCAATGACAACTTCAACCATGTCATGTTACTCTAAGGTGGTTTAATTTAAAGTTTATCTTCTAAAGCAAACTTCTAAGTGGAATTATCATGCAAATATTTAATGGTTGATAATATTTTAATTGTATTTAAATCGAGGGTTGTTTTTGCAACATAAGGTGTATAAGCAGTCAGAATGCAAGATAAAAATGAATGAAATATAAATCAAAATATAAATAAAATTAACATCATTCAAATGATAAAATAATTTGTAGAGAATTGGTCCTCTTTATGATACAAAACAAATTCTCGTCACATTGCTTAAGACTGATATTAACAGCACAGAACTGTCACATATGAATTTCAACATCATTGTAAAAAAAGGGGTCATTTTACTCTGTTATCAGCTCCAATTAAGTGCAAGTGGGGACATCTCGGTTCTTATTAAAATAGTGGTACCTTTAAATAAATTCTGAATAATGATCACCGTCTTACTGTGTAGATTTGTTACTGACTACGTGAGTATCACGTGTCATCTTGACTTTGTTAACGTAATTCCACAGAGTCAAGACATCTTTTATTCTACCCCACTAGATCAGAAATCCTCTGATTAATCAGACCCTGTTCTTTATGATAACTGTTACTGTTACTGGTAGCTGATTTAAAGAAGGCATCCTTCCAGGATATCAGAGCGTGAAGCTGCATTGGGTGCTTCCTGCACGTCACCCCCCATTCACGTGTCAGGGGAGAGTTGGGTGTTATCATTATCACGCAGTCGGGTGTTTCTGAAATTCAGGGAATTTTGTAATATTGAAATGGGGGGGGGGGGGGACCAATAGCATAAAATGGCATAAAATGGAGACTTTTTCTATTGAGAAATGGAAAAACCCTAATAAATTTTGTAATAACATAATGATCACGTATTTGAGGTAAAAATTTAAGATTAATCGAACTTTGACTTTTTCATTACTTTATGAAATGAGAATTTTGTAATATGATAGTCACATTAATTAATACTCTTTGTTACAATGGTATGTAATCTGTTTTCCATTTAAAGGCAATGTTAAGCTGCACTGCACTGGAATATTGTAGTTCGTGTACCTTACCCTTGGCTCAATGATCATGCACTATCACTATCACCTCACATTATGCTGTTTTTGCATATCAATGGAATTTACCTGCGACTGCAATCAGATGTTTAGCATACAAGAAGGTTTGGAGATGAGAACAGTTGTCGTAGATATCATTAATAGGCCGCAGCTCGCTGTACACGATTATTTGTCCATTCATCCGGATAGGTCTGTCGTTAACGTTGAATACAGGAGGGGTCGAAAACTTCATCTTCTTGTATATCGTCTGAGGGAGTGTAACTTGGTGATATATTCGGGTTTGGGCATGGTTTAAGGTGATTGGGCATGATTGAACCAAACTTTCACCAAATATGTGCATGATTTTGCAGGTTCTATTTAATAGAAATCTAGAATTAGTTAGATATATTAACAAGTGAATTTTATAATTTATTCTTAAAAAGGTCCCAAAAATAACCATTTTAAGAAAAAATGTAACTTACTTGTGCATATTTGATGGACATGTTTTTAGTGAGGTCTATCACCGTGTTTATTGGGGGCAGCTTTATGTTGCAGTGAATTGCCAGTTCCACCTGAACATGTTGTCAGATATAATTAAGCATTTTTCATCCCAGAATCTTTCCTGGTCTTCTTTTGGGTACTATAGATTCGTGAAATTTTCCTAGTTAATTCTGATTTAGAATGCGTTTTAGCAGTTTTAGTACGTTTTAGCAGTTTTAGTAAGTTAAATTGTTATCAAAATATTTTACAAAAATAAGGGGCTAGGTGGCCTGATAGTTAGAGCATCCGCCTTCTGCGCAGAAGGTTCAGGGTTTGAATCCCAGTGTCACCTAGTCTAGGGAGTAGCTAAGGATCCATTGGATCTATGCAATCTTCTCGGTCGAGGAGATCAGAGTACTATTAACTATTAACTGAAAAATAATAAACAATTTATTTTGGCAAGTTTCCAGCTTATTTTACCTGGCTCAGAAATTTTCCTCTTGATACAAGTGTACTCTTGACAATAAAGTTCCCCCTAGCAGAAATCTTCCCAATATAAGTTGGCTGTTTCCTAATGTTGTAAATCTCCACTGTTTCCTTAACTTCATGATAAATATTCTGAAATTATTGCCCTCATGTATAATAACTAATCAATTAAAACAGGACTAAATGAACAAAATTATAATTCTTCGTTATGTATGTCAAACATGAACGACATAATACATTTTCGGACACAACAAAAATGTCATGACGAAAATAACGTATAAAAATTTATATTGTGACTATCTTACAAACTTATATTGTTACTATCTTACAAATACAACTCCTCAACATAAAATCTTTATTAATTGGTTTAATCACCTGGGGTAATATGTCCTTTTGACGGAGCCCAAGGTTATCAAACTTAATAGGCTGGAGGAAGTTACATGGATAATAGTGATCGCGGGAGTTGATCTTGAGGGACACGAATGTTTCATGTAGTTTCTCTTTCTTCTTTCGGGCATAACACGACATCACCTACGGAAATTCCAAGATGAGATCTCCTCAAAATCAGAAGCAATCCTTGACTAACTCATGTAATTTTGATCAGAATTGCACACAAATTCCAGGAATTACAGATATGGGTCGAACAGATAAACGTCCCCGGTTGTGAGGATTGTAGAAGGTTCCGGTTTAAACCAGGACCTTTAGACAGCAATCCTGTAATAATCTGACCTTATGAAGTGCTTCAGGGGTGATACTAGGGGTGTACCAATGGTTGCTGTTCTGGGTTATTATCGGGTACCATATCAGGTTTTTCTCCTGCATTTCCAATAGTTCTGACTTGAGATCAGCTGAAAACACAATTGAAATTCGGCATTTTGGGGGCTATCACTTAATTACCGAGTGCACTATTTAGATCTATTGATTGCTTTAAATTTGATATCAGCTAATTTAAAATAAAATCCAAATGGTTACGTGTTTCACTAATTCACCGTTGAACTGGTGAGTGCTACTGGCTCTGCGAGTTCTATCCCCAGGATTTGTCCACGGTTTCCCATAAAACATGAATAAGTAACGTTACAGCGTTACAGCGTTACAGTGTTACGTATACAGACCATACACTACATTATATACAATTATATGTTACCGTTGAACTGGTGAGTGCTACTGGCTCTGCGAGTTCTATCCCCAGGATTTGTCCACGGTTTGTCAGGTCTGGCAGGCAAGTTATCCAATTTCTCTGATATCTGCACAAAATTAAGTTATTTCAGTTTTAGTTTAAGTTTTGTATCACTTTCATACTTATGGTGGCAAAATCTGAGAACAACTACCAGAAGAGTTACAAATTACAACAGTTTTATTTTCAAGAAAGAAAGTTGTCGACCAACTACTCAATAAAAGGACAGCAGAGCCTGACAAAGTTCATGTTATCAGGAACTTTAGAGTCATTAGCTCGGAGAAGGAGCCTTAAGAGTGATATATTTTCTATAAGTACAATATTATATGTTTTAATTCATTGATTAATTAATTTTTTGCTAGGGCCCAATGTTAGGGCTCTGTGCTGGGTTAGGGCTCTGTGCTGGGTCCGGTCCTGTTCAACATCTACATTCGCTCTTTGTACTCAGCAGCACATGATTTGAACTTCTCCATCCAGGGTTACGCCGACGATCATCAGCTGTATAAAAGTTTCAAGCCAAACGAGGAGCCCACCGTCCTTATAAGGAAACATTTGGGAACATCGTTGATAAATCAACGATGTTCCCAAATGTTTCCAAGAAATTAATGACTGGATGAAAAAACATTATCTACAGCTCAATGCAGGAAAAACTGAGATTCTTGTCTTTGGGACACCGCTTGTCCTCCAGCAGCTGTCTATAGGGGGCGTGTTTGTTAACTCTGAGACGTGTGTCAGGCTGTCACCTGTTGCAAAGAACCTCGGATTTCGTCTCGACTCTCAACTAAACTTTGGTGAGCAAATCAAGCAACTTAAAACATCCTGTTTTCTGAAACTAAGAGACCTTGCTAAGATGAAAACATTCCTCACAACCAAACAGATGGGAACACTGACTCAAGCAATTGTAATCTCATCGCTTGACTACTGCAATGCACTTTACTATGGTTGTAGTCAAGCCTCAATTACGCAGCTGCAGAACATTCAGAACCGAGCATGCCGTCTGGTTTTTGGATTAAAGAAGAGAGACTCAGTCGAGGAGAAGCTCAAATCCCTTCATTGGCTCAAGGTGAAGGAGAGGATTGAGTTTAAGTTATGCTTACTGATTTTCAAAGCAGTCAATGGTGTTGCTCCTGCATATCTGTGTGATCTAGTAACATTTGTTAGTTCGAGTAGCAGAAGAACTTCCTCCTTACACCTACCCGTCGGATCTACAAGATCACACCCAAGAGCGTTTCAGACTGTTGCTCCGAAAATCTGGAACCAACTACCAATTGAAATTAAGACTTGTTCTGATGTTGATCTGTTCAAAACATTATTAAAAACTCACCTGTTTAAGAAAAGTTATGGCATGAGCGATTAATTGACAATATAATAACTTTATGTTATTTGCTTAAACTGTTTAGGATGCAACCTAATGTCATGATCTTTTTGAACTTATTAGCAATTAGACTGTTAGCTCGCTTCACAAGCATGTCATCTTCGTTCCAAAACTTTTTATGTCCTATGCATACACTCCTTGATAGTTATCTTGATCTAGTATCTTTGTTTCACACAATAGAGCATAAGTTTTGTGGTTTATCCACTGGGCTTAGAGTTTGTGTTTAAGCTACCAAATTTTATTATTATTTATTTTATTATTGCGGGTGTGGTATTTCTTACTGCACACTACTGTGTTTTGGTCACCCCTCTTTCAATACATAATTTGGGTTTCATACTGGGATAGTGGATATTAGGGCTATATCGGTTTTCTCCTTTTATAACTGGGTTTATTTAGAAGCATTCAATTCTGTATAATTATGTATTGTTTGAAAGATTTAGATTTTTTTTAAATATAACACCACATAGAAGTGCAGTAGTCCTCTAGTAGTTTGAATATTTATTAGGCATATTATGCATATTATCTTTTGTTTCCTATGCTTCACTTGCTTCACCATACATATACTACAATCAAAAAGTGAGTGATGAACGAAAGATAAATAATTAAATGTACCACTCAGCAAATATTATATATAACCACTTGTACTCAGCAAACCTTTTTCTCAGGATCATCAGGAGTAAGCAGGAGGGCTGGTGTAACAGAAGTGGGGGTGGGGAGGAGAAAGATAAATAATTAAATGTACCAGTTGCAAACCTTTTTCTCAGGATCATCAGGAGTAGGCAGGAGGGCTGGTGTAACAAAAGTGGGGGTGGGGAGGAGAAAGATAAATAATTAAATGTACCAGTTGCAAACCTTTTTCTCAGGATCATCAGGAGTAGGCAGGAGGGCTGGTGTAACAAAAGTGGGGGTGGGGAGGAGAAAGATAAATAATTAAATGTACCAGTTGCAAACCTTTTTCTCAGGATCATCAGGAGTAGGCAGGAGGGCTGGTGTAACAGAAGTGGGGGTGGGGAGGAGAAAGATAAATAATTAAATGTACCAGTTGCAAACCTTTTTCTCAGGATCATCAGGAGTAGGCAGGAGGGCTGGTGTAACAGAAGTGGGAGTGGGGAGGAGACCGGCTTTAGCTGCTATCTCTGGTTCTGGGGCAGGTAAAGGAGCATCTAAAGGTACTCCGTCTATTATTACTTCCAGATTTTCTTTAGGCGTCCTGCAGGGGGTCACCTTTAGATCAATCAACAAACTTACAGTTTATAAGTATTGTCGATAGTAGGAGGTGGACACCAAAACTGTTTAGGAGAAATTACACCATTGCCAGATGTTCAAGGATTTCTAAGTACTTCCAAGACATAAAAAATCGTTTTGGTAATCAAGCTTGAACTATAGTTGCTTGAATGTTAATCGTTCCTTGTTCTCATTATTGTCGATTTCAAATCTAGATATTTCAGATAATCATAATAAGTTGACCAGATATAAAGGGTGCACGTGTAACAAAAGCCCTCAAAAGCCAAGGTATTATTGTATTATAATGAATAGTAATAAAAAACGTTAAATCTAGATATTATCACAATTAAAGATAATTAGTTAACCAGGTTTAAAGGGTGCACGTGTAATTTTTTTAAAACACATATTTCCCTAACTTGGAAGAGGGAAGCTCTGAAATAGATCTCATGACCGGCTGATGGTTCCTCTCCTTCTGATTCTCATCTGGTTTAGTGCGGAACTCAACAATAGCGTACGGGACCACCTGCCGAGGAATTCCTACTATCTCTAGGTTATCATCAAACTCGTAGACATAGTACCGACCAGAGATGTAGGCATCTGCGTATCTCATCGTGTGAAACTGAGGTGTTTTTAATATTTTAAATATTTAGTTTATTAATGCCTTTCAAACAAAGTTACAACTTCATGTAGTGCATCCTGGGTTTGGACAGGATATGACCCGTTTAAAATATTTCTATCGCGTTACATGACATAATTCTCAATAAATGTAATAGAGTAATTAGTTTATGTCATCCGACCGAGGTTGAGAGGAAGAAAAAATGACGTTTTTGATGCGATTGTGCTAGTTAACGGTTATCAATCACTAAGATTTGAGGGTAAATGGATCAAATATTGATGAACTTTAAAGGCTACACCAGGCGAAAACAAGTTAAAGTTTGTAGTTGGTCCGCTCTGGTGACTCCTCCAGTTCACTAATTACCTGTGACAGCGTATACTTGGAAGTGTGGCAATCGTAGTTTGGATCCGGTTCCAATATTGAGTCTGTTTCCTTGTGTACTGTAACATTTTTTACACGGCCCCTCATTAATTTGTATATCACCAGAAACCCAGTAAATTCTTTGTTCATCCATCCAATGTACTTCTTCATCGTATCTATAAATCTGAGCGGGTGGTATGTGTATAAAGTTCAAAAATGTGATTAAATTAGTAATTGTCTACCAAATTGTGTAAAAAGTAGGATTTATTGAGCTTTCAACGGAAGTGATTGGTTGTTTTCTCAGCATCAAACATTTTATTTCTGAACAGTTTATTCCTAATCAATTAAGAAACTGCTTCGGGAACAAAACAGGTCTAAACATTATAAATTAAGAAACTGACCTGTAGAAATAAACGCCCATATTACAGTCCCCCAGATGATTTCCACTGAAGGCGTTGCCAGCCTTCATTCCATATTTACAAAAATTAGTTGCTAGTCGGAAATCTGAGCACAGGTTAAATGCGAATAGCTCCTTCAGTTCCTGCTGTGTTCGTCCTACAAGCAAACAGAGGTTTATAAAATAATTTACATACCGACTTTTACTTATTTCGGTCTCATTACACGCTATTCATACATCTAAGAATTCAGTACAGGCAGGATGACAATTTTATGAGCTTCTTGGAGAATAACCTCTAACTTTTTAAACCTTGGTCTTTCATGTCTTGTTTTTTCTGGTTATATTGGCTAGTGAGCTTCTCGTTGTTGATCAACCACATGTTTTCTAAAATAAACCTGGAAGTAATAGAGATATTTTAAAACTTTGAAATTTCAAATGATACACATAATTACGGGAATCAATTTATACAATTGTTTAAAATTTCAAGTTACAGTTGCAGTGTAAAATATACCTACATATCATAGTGGTATTATTTAAGATTTGATCCAACTATTTTTCAAAATTGTGCACGTTTATTGACGTTATTTTCAAATAAAAGATTATAGGTAATGAAAAACATCTGCCAGATCTCGATTCTTAACTTACCTATCAATATTCCGAGTTACACGGCAACTGTGTTTCAGAATCCCAGCAATGTTGTCCCAATCTCTGGTTCCTTTTTCCAATTTGGAGGTGAACTGGTGGGCGACAGAACGCGCTTTCTTGGGAATAACGAAAGATTTACCGGGAGTGTCATCAGGCTTCATTGCTTTAAGAAGTTTGGGATCATCACGATTATTTTTATAAAAATAACATATAAATAAATAAATAAATTCTAACATTTATTACACGCTTCGACATTAAAATATACCCAACAAAGATGTACATTAAAGTCATTCAAGCGAGACTTAGTGTTGAAATAGCAAGATTATGGACTTTTTAAACAGTTCAGATTTTATGAACAAATATTTGTATGAAGTTACCAAAATTATGCACTTTCATATCAGTTCAGACATTATGGACAAATATTAGAAATATTATCAAAAGCTCGTTGGAAATAAAACGTCTTTAGGGCATTTTTAAAACATTCTACAGATGATAATGATCTCACTGAGTAGGGTAGTTCATTCCAAATTTTTGGTCCACAAAACATAAATGCAGCATCTGTTCGTCTGAAATGAGGAGCAGGAGGAACTTTCAACAAATAAAAGTCATCATCTAGTCTGGAACTTCGTCTTCGTACTTCCCTTAGATTGACGTGTCCTTGTAAGTACTGAGGGGCTATGTTATTAAGACACTTGAAGACCAGAAGTGATATTTTGAACTTAATTCTGAACCGAACAGGCAGAAAGTGGAGCTTTTTGAGGTAAGGCATGATAGGTTCACGTATCTTTTTTCCGTAAAGACCAAAGATAAATCTAGCAGCATTGTTCTGTATCTTTTGTAGCTTATGGAGATTCTTTTCTGTTATACCATAATAGACTGAGTTGCAGTAGTCTATGAAACAGAGGATATTGGAGTGAACTAACTGAACTTTTAGGTCATGGGAAAGCTTCGAACCGATTCTTGCTAAGTCCCTTTGATTCAAATAACATACTTTGGAGACAGCATTTATTTGAGAGTCCAGATTCATTTGGTGATCGAAAAGGAATCCCAGGTTCTTGGCCTTGCTAACAGGGCGGATTGAGAGGTCTCCTAAATCCATTGTCTGGATTGGGCTGACATATAATATGATATTGAACAAAAATGTTTTAAATTCCAGTCTAATACTGTTTAGAAATGAATAAAACATAAGGAGTGTATTTTTTTTCTGAAATCATTATTTTGTTTCCTGAAATATCAAGAATTAATGTAAATCTGAAATTATATAATATTATAGTTTTATAAAATATAACATTTTACAATATTACTCTAAAATATTTCTAAGAAGTTTCAGAACTCAAGGCAGTGTATAAAATTAAAAGCAAGGTTCAAAATTAAAGGGATTTGTTAACTGCAAATATCTAATCAAACTAGAAAGCTAGAAGAAACATCTAGATGAAATCATCACTGGATAGTCTGCATTTATGGAAATGCATCATGTAAAACGTAAAAGTACTAAATCGAAGATTGGCCATTTCTTAATTCACACAAAACTTTTTTTGCAATATACATCAAAACAGGGGGCGGGGAAAATAGTAAGTTTAAGCAAAAATTGTAGTACAGAATAAAATATTATATCAAGAAAAAGTAATCACTAAAATCTATGAATAATAACGATAACAACCAACTTGATTTAATTAAATTAAATAAAATGTAACGACATCAGAACATGTTTTCAATAAATTTTGAACAAACAGACCTACTGAACAACATACACTATCAAAATTGTTACAATTCAGATCTGACTTTAACTAAATGTACACAAATCAGTTAACTTCAATTATTGAAGAACTCGATAGTGTAAGATGGATGCCATACTCAACCTATCCTCCTCAAATTCAAACACTTTCCTATACCCAGGAATGTACACCCTTTCAACTTCCTCTATGATGTTTTTCCTTAACATCTCCTTAACAATACTCCAGTCAACGTAATCCTTATTGAGATAGGACTTCTTGGTGAGGATGATAAGGGTACCTCCACGTTTCAATAGTTTCAGTAGATCAGGAAATGCCTCAGTACAGGGATGAGATCTGGACAGAAAGAATGTACCAGAGGAACATATAATGTCGTATACTCGTTCGGTTGGGAGGTTGGTTGTTCCTCTACTGCAGTACAGATTCTTAAAGCATCCTTTATCTGCTGCTGGTTTCAATAATTCGGAATTGCAGTCGGAGCCGTCGATGTTCTTAAAGTTTCTGTTGTGGAGAGCCTGGCCCAGTAGTCCAGTTCCGCAGCCAAAGTCTAAGATTCTGAGAGACTTGTCAGCAAAGTTCTCGTTGATAGCGTTAGCCAGAATATTGAAGCCCACGTAACGCTCAAAATCTGAGTGTATCAGGTTGTCATAGTTTTCCGCGTACTGAAAAAAAAATTGTATATTTACATATTTACATATTTTAGTCTGTGTTTGAAATTAATCGTATTTCATTCTGCAATAATGATTTGTACGGCTTTTAATGGGAAAATAATCAGAGGGTTTCAAAGAATAATATTACAATTTAGATTTAAAATGATAACTTTTAAGTTCTGTTAAATAGTTCAAATAATATCAGTATTAGAAGTTCAAAAGACTTCAGACAATTGCAACATACTTTTGTATAAATCTCCTGCTGGGCACCAAACTCATCTTCCAACCCAGATTGTCCATTTTCTCGAGACTGGTGCATGAATCCTTGAAAATCCTGATGCCACTGCTCCCCGATAGAGTCATCGAACTCAGGCATCCTATTGCTGTTAATAAATCGTTTTAAAATATAGGTAAAAATCTTTGATAAATCTGAATCTTTTAAGATATTAATCTTTTCTTTATAAAATAATAGAAGATGCACTAATATAAAATATATATATAAACCAAGGATAAAGAAATTCGCAGATCATAAAGTCTAACATGATGTGATTTTACAACTTAATAAAGAAACGTTCATTATTCATGACACGATAGTTGCCTGCCACCGATTCCGGCCTTAAAAACAAATGTACAAAACCTCTAAAAAACTTTTTTAAATCACTAAGAGTTTAGATTCGAAACTCAATCAAAAACTGGAAGAGTCTTATTCTTCACTGAAGCAAGAGATATCTTAAAATCGTTGCTGGCAAAGCATCTACTCTGGGCATGAGCTTCTTGTTGTAATTGAGCCTCCATAATTGCCAAGTACGGAGCACGAAGGAGTTTAACAGTTTCCTTCATTGCGTTTGGGGATGTTGAGATTACAATTTGCTGTGCTAACTTTAAACTTTCTTCAAGAACCTGAAAATGTAAAGATACTGCATCAGGGACAAAAGGATTTCGCGATTATTTTGGCCAAAAATCGCGATACCGCGATTTTTAACAGATTATACATTAAACTATACGTCATAAAATTTGTCGCAAATAATGGGAAAAATCGCGATTCCGTACATGCCGCGATTTCTGCATTCATGTTTAGTGTACCAAAAATGTGGAATGAGCTACCTTACTTAGTGAACATCAACTATTGGATGTTTTAAAAGTGCCCTACAAATATTTTATTTCAAACTATCTTTTGATGATATTCCTAATGTTTGCCAATGACTTGGTCGCTTGTTTTTGGGACAACCTGTATAAAGCCCATTTTCTTCCAATTACCTTACTCGGGATTATTATGACCGGGATAAAGTGGCGGGTTTAGGGTAATTTCGCCATATTTTTCCCGAACCACATTTTCACCGGTCGTTAATAAACCCGCCGACTCAGCTTTTAGGGTTCCCAAGGGGTATAGGTATGGGTGCTCATATTTTAATGGTTGTCTTATATTCACTAAAGAAGACTATTGGGACACTTGTTGTAGGTTTTTCGACTTCATTTGGCTAAAATTGCAAAAAATTCACCTTTTTGCCCAATTCTTGTCATATATCCTTATTGTCAAAGTTGATTTAAATAGGCCAATTTTTAATTTCTTAGGTATTGACTATCTCTACATAATGAAATAGGACTCAAAGTAAAAGTAACAGTTAAATTAAAACTAGAATTAATTAAAACGGTCAATAACATGAATCAGTTTCATCAGTCATTTATTCATAATTCTAAACAATGTGAACGATGCATTCTTTCGAAGATTTTCTACAAATTGAGTCATAATGGTTATTTGATACACGTAAACATGTAATGCTAATTCAAAACAACGAATTTGCTAGAGTCTACTTTCAACAATTATTGATAATTCGACTTGTTTCACAAGTTTTAGCAATGCGAAAATTTCTGAACCTGCTTATCTCTGATAAGGAAATTTACATCTGAGACAAAATTTTTGAATCTAAAATTGAAAGGTTGGACACCGGTAAAATGGCGACCGGGAAAATGTGGTGGGTTTTGAGCAATTTCGCCATATTTTTCCCGAACCATATTTTAACCGGTCGTTAATAAACCCGTCGTAATAATCCCGAGTAAGGTAGACAGCGAATAGAGTATAAGATTGCTCTAACAGTGTTCAAATGCATCAACAACATAGCTCCAGACTATATCACCAAATGCATCGACATCAAGAGTCAACCTGTACGTGTGCTACAAACTGAACAAGACTATTTCCTCCTAAATGTTCCTCCTGTCTCAAATTATAGTAAAACTGAGAGAGGTTTTAGTTACTGTGGACCCTCAGTATGGAATCAGCTTCCTTATCAATTGAGAACATTGACTGATATTGTCGTGTTTAAAAAGAGACTAAAGACTCATCTATTTGAAAAAGTGTTCATATAAGTATCATATAATATCTTTCTCGTACAAACCATACTTCATAAAATGCTAAGTTCTTATGTACATGTTCATGAGTCGCTTTAGACGGCTTGAACTGAATCTTAGGATTTTGAGTTCTTTTTGGCTATAAAGCGATGTATACATTTCTAGTTATTATTATTATCATTATTATATTGAGTTTAGAATTTCGAAAAGGAAAAATGAGTAACAGGAACATTTACCATTGATCTTGAATTAACAGACTTTAGAACAACTCCCATTTTTTCTGCTTCTTTGCCAGAGAACGTTCTTCCAGTGAGTGTAATATCGTTACATACCTGATACCAGTGTGAGTGAGCGAATTGATTATTGAAATGGAATTGACCAATCGATTCATATTATATAGCTTTATATACAGGGTGGGCCAAAAGTCAGTACCCATATGTTGGCCTTAATAGCTCAATCACTGACTGCCTAATTGAAATAAATATTTCTGGTATGACTTACTTCCACCACTGGTTCTATTCGAGGAATTTGTCAAATCGAAAAATATTCGGGTTCATTTTTTTCAAATAAAGTTCCATGTTTGCATTTATTTGATAGTTTGGATATAGCCAAATCGGATCAAGCCAAATCGGATCAAGCCAAATTTTATTGAATAGTGTTTCAAGGCCATTCAAATGACGTTTGTCCTGAAAAAAAAGGGGGTTCTAGCTTCTCAGATGACCGAGATATGAAGCATAACGAGTTTTTTCATTACGTGTGATCAGGTAATTGGGTTGAGGCTAGATCCGATTATTGGAATCGTGTAGAGAGCCCAATTACGGTGCCGTAATTGGGTAATCATTGAGTACCAATCAATTTTGCTAACGAGATTAAAAAAATTGCTTGATAACTTCGTCATTTTAAATCCGTTTCGCACCATCTTTCAGATCATACTCCTGATTAAATGGCCTATTGCAATATGTTACAACGGAGTCTCTAACATGTTCACAAACACCAGTATAAGCAATTCAATGTTGATTGGGTGTGGCCCCCAAAAATCGAATTTTCAAATTTTGGTGACGGAATCCTCGAACAAGTAGGTACAGTATGCAACGTTTGGGTACTGACTTTTGGCCCTCCCTGTATTATAATAATAATAATAAATTACCAGCCCGTATTGTCCATAACTATCATTATTAGTCAGTAAAACCCAGACTTGATTAAATCACGAAAACATGAAACGAAGCATAGTACCTCAAGTTGATCTGCTTGTGGACTAGACTAGTGTAGTACCTAATAAATGAAACAGATGTGTAACTACAAATCTGTAGTTACTAGATACTAGTATCAAATCTGAAGCAAACGAAATGTTAATATGGGATATGTTCAATAAACCTGATTGTTAAGCTTTTGCGGCAGGGTAAATGAACCACCCATACCAGGACTGATGCCAACTTTCACAAAGTTAGCGCCTGAAAATTTTAAGTGTGCAGTTCTCAATTTTGAATAGGGTGAAATTGATCCATGTCAGACCTCGAAGTGGTATAATATTATGTATTATTATTATGAAGGAGTATATTTAAGTCACTATTGTGACGGTACATTAGAACTAGACAGAAACAAAGTGTGAAGGGCCTGAACGGAACCCCTCGGTTTCAGTTTCTTGTTTAACAATGCAGTACAGCAAGGACATCCACCAGGTTCTCCAAGGATGGGCACATAGCTCACTCCACACTATGCTCTGTCAAATTTTAGTAGTAGTTAGATCTAGTGTTCTGTTCACAAACCCAATTTGGCGTCATCAGCAGTTATTCTTAGGTCACAAAACATTGAAATACAGAAGCCAGCGCCAATAGCAGGCCCATTGATAGCAGCTATAGTAGGAATAGAGGCTTCAAGAAGAGGTGTGAAGAATCCATAATATTCCTGAAATTATCTGACATCAAACAATATCTTACATCAAACAATATAATATCACCAGTACAAGACGTGAAGTTTTGTAATAAATTAACAGCTGTGTTGTTATAAAGTACAAAGAAAATGCCAAACTTACTTTCATAATTTCAATGTTTTTGGAAGGATCAGTTTTACTGCGCTCCTCAAGCCAAGCTAAATCTGCACCAGCGGCAAAGCTATTACCATGACCAGTGACAACCAAACATCGAGCTTTTGGGTGAGATTCTGGCAATTTTCTCACAATATCCTGGAAGATGGTAAGAGTAAAGTAATGTAAAAATTATGACATCACATCATCACACATGTCTACTAAGTATCATCGCACTATGTGAACAAATATATGATTAATATTTCCCACCAATATTAATAATTTATCAAATACAATTTTGTTAAATATTATTTTACCAAATATTGTATACTATAACATTTATTAAATGCTTATGCTTACTTTGAACGTTCTTGCCATGTACTCAGTCATGCAGTTCATCTTCCCTTCATTTCTTAATGACAAGACAACTGTCTTGTCATTGTGCTTACAGCTCAAGTCAACACCTGTAAACTTATATATCAACCAATATGCCAAACAGGAATTATATCTATTGAAACAAAATTGTGGAGTAGGATGATACAGTTCAATCCCTCCAGTAAATCTGGCACGTTCAATAGGGACTTTACTGTAGAATGTACACAGGAATTTTGTAAATGATATGATCTGCAGAAACTCACCTACTTTATCTGTGGCCGTGGATGATGCTCTCACCAAAAGTCTCCTGCAACACACAACAGGAAACAAAACTTTGCCATTCGTGATCATGAGTACCTATTTCAAAAATATTCAATCCTACAGTGAAAAAAACTTTGAAAATAAATAACCTTGAAAATAAATAACTTTGAAAATAATTTCAAGAGGCAGCTCATTCCATAATTTAGGGTAAACTTTCTGAAACGATCTTTCTCCATTATACTGTGTATATTAGATACTCTAGGTTCATGTTCAGACAAATAGATAAGATGAAATTATAATTGGCATATTTAAACATATTACTTAAATAATCTGGTCCCATACCATTAAATAATAATAATAATAATTCTATACTGTTACATAATTTAAAAATTATGGCCCCTTATTGTGGGCAGAGTATGTGTCTTTATTTAAGTGTCCTGATTTAAAATCATCTGAGTGACTGCATACCATTAAGACATTTATAGACAAGAAGCAATAACTTATATTGAATTCTGTAACTAATAGGCAGCCAATGAAGGTCTTTCAGAGTGTCTCCTAGATGATCATATTTATATACCTTAGTTCCCAAAAATTTGTGTGCCATTATATTGAGCACAATTTATTTGAGCCCGAAAAATTTGGGCAGAAAATTTGAACTCATTTGGGCGACCGAAAATTTGGGCACAAATTCTTCGAAAAATGAACGATTTTCCACTAAAATTTCAGTTAGATATTTGCCTTAGTTCATTATTATACAGCACAACTGTTTCGATGAGTTTTAACATTCGTAAAATTATTCAAACAATATACACATAATTGTCACAATGACCCTATATAAAAACAACCCTTCAAAAAATCAATATATTCCCTATCTCAAATATTGGGAGAAATATTTGAATATCAACCTTTGCCTTGTGGCTCCAAATTCAAATCTAAACTGTTTATATCAACAAAGTTCTTTCTCGCACCTCTGTCCTAGGCTATCCATTATCGGTATGAAATCTTTTATCTAGATAAACAGATAAAGATTTAGGTTTTATCTAGATAAAACCGATAAAACCGATAATTTTTCTGCTGAAGGCCATAGCTAAAATGTTTTCCAAATTTCGCAAAAACTAATTGTCGACTTTTATTACTGTTTACCAGTAATCTTGCTAAAGTACCACTTCCTTTCTTTTGAAAATATTAGAGTATCAGTTTTCTTCTCCGGGGAGCAGAAGTGTACCAGTTTTCTTCAAAACAGTAGACCAACGGTTTCCTTCTCCTGAGAACAGTAACGCACTAGTTCTCTTCAAAACAGTAGACCCCAACGGTTTTCTTCTCCTAAGAACAGTAGTGTACCAGTTCTCTTCAAAACAGTAGACCAACGGTTTCCTTCTCCTGAGAACAGTAACGCACTAGTTCTCTTCAAAACAGTAGACCCCACCGGTTTTCTTCTCCTAAGAACAGTAGTGTACTAGTTCTCTTCAAAACAGTACTAGACCAAGGGTGTCCTTTTCCTGAGAACAGTAGTGTACTAGTTCTCTTCAAAACAGTATCTACCACTGGTTTCCTTCTCCTGAGAACAGTAGTGTACTAGTTCTCTTCAAAACAGTAGACCAAGGGTTTCCTTCTCCTGAGAACAGTAGTGTACCAAATACCAATTCTCCTCGAAACAGTCAAGCATTTAAAGTGATTCAGTGAACCGTTTTCTTATCCTGTTGATAACTTGGAGCAACAGATTCCTTCTCCTGAAGACAATGTTTCACGCCCAGAACACTTACAGAATTTAATTGAGTGCCCTGCCGGTATTTTTGACTCTTGTTAACAGTAACATGCTCGTTCCCGTCTCAAGAATAATTATAAGGTAAAACGCCAATACCCTCAAGAGAACAATGTCAATAACCTTCTCTGGATTTCAACAGTTCATACAGTTCTACAGTTCCATACAATCCATAGGTATACAAATGTAAATAAACCTCACATTTAAGTAAACTACCTCTTCTATCATACTAGAAGACGTTTGGGACTGTTTCTTAGATTCCATGGAAAGGCAAAAACACTAATATTTCTTTTTCAATTTTACGGTATTGAGGCATTATTTTCGGTAATATCTAGTAAATTTTTATACCGATAAAAATATGTTTTATCTAGATAAACAGATAACTTTTTTTAACGAATTATCGGAGATAATTATCGGTTACGATTATCGGAGTGGATAGCCTACTCTGTCCCCCCTTAGAGAAATCACTGTTGTTCTTAGGATTTCGAAACGAAATCGATGAGTTTACCCAGAAAAGAGAGGTTAGATATAGGTCCATAGCTCTTGAAGTCATTTGGATCAAGTTTGTGGTCCTTAATGGTAGGAATAATGTCAGCAGTCTTCAAACCGTCGAATGTGCCCTTAGCTAGAGACTGGTTGACCAGTTTGCACAAGACAGGAATGAAATTTGTGATATTGTCTTTGAGGACAGGAGGACACAATATAATCCAGGTATCGGCAGGGGCTGCCGCACAAACGACATTATCATGGATACACTTCTTTATTTTCAGCAGCAAGTATGTTAGTGCGCATAACAAGGCGCGCTAGCATTTTACTGCCATTCACTGATTTCTGGGCCACAATATGTCAAATTAGATTCTAATTGTTGCTCCTAATCTAAAATTCTAATAACAGTGACTGCTCCCTATTAAGAAAACTAACCGACCAACATTTTCGGTCGAACCCTAAAATTACTAATACCAAATTTAAACCCCACATATGCGTGTATAGTCTCCAAATCTTCTCTCTGCTCTCGGACTTTGTTTTTTTGAATGGAACTGTTTGTATACTTTAACAAATAGTGATTTTAACTTAGAGATAAACTGCTATATTATTTAATAATTTTGTACCAATGTTCACCTAACTTAACATTTCTCACTGACACCATCGCCCGGCAATCAATTTTAAATTAAAATTTATTAACGATCTGACTACTAGACTACAGACGTTCCCCGTAGCTCAACGGAGGGGGTAATCAGGGCACGTGTTAATGAAAAATGTACGTGTCCTTCCACAATCCCTTCTGTTGGGTCACAAGTTTATTGGGGACTGAGATCGCTAGCGTGTAACTAGAAGCAGTATATGCAAAGTAACATAGGTGATAGGTGATAGGCAATATGAAATTACAAATTTTACTTTATCCCATGGACTTATCAATTAAAGGCTGGTGGTGGTGTCATCGTTTGTTATACTCAAAATGTTTCGCGGTTGCGAATGCCGGCCCATCGAGGAAAATATTTTTACTTTGTTCTTTAACCATTATAAAAAATGATTAGCCGGCCGGATGTAATACTGAGTTCAAACAGTTCCCGAAACGAAAAAGCAAACATTTGATTTTGTTTCGGCGACTGAATCTTTGATGGGCCGGCAATTATTTGTTGTCGAGTAGTGTTGAATACTCACATTAACATGATTTTTGATTTAATCTAGGAATTGTATATAAATATTTTTGACCAAGTTTAATTGTCAATGAGAATGCACCCCAACACTTGGCGCGCGCGGCGGCATTGATGTTAGCGGCTACAAGTTAGGCAGCTGCCGAAAAGATGCCACGCGCATTCAGCAACATTTTAATCATGTAATATATTGATTGATGATGTCAACTTTTCCAAATCGTTGCTCTGCAAGAATGCTAGTTTGCGCGGCGCGTCGAAGCGGCGTAGTCCTCCAACAATTAGTGAATTGAAATTCAGCTTGATTGACGCCAATCCGTCGAGATCGCTGCTCTGCGACGCGAAGCAGAGCAACGATCGACGCAAGAACGACGCAAGAACGATGCGAAGCAAGAATGCTAGTTTGCGCGGCGCGTCGAAGCGGCGAAGTCCTCAAAAATTCAGCCAATCAGAGTACAGAAATCCGCTAAGTTCTTTTTTATTTGTTTTTTTAAGTTGCAAACTTTTGAACAGCCCAAAGTAAGACTTTTTTGAAAATTTTGAGATAACTAAAAAGTAAAAATCTACAATGTCCCTAATTTGTAATTTTCCTCTTGGGGAGGAAACGTTACTTTTACAAAACGAACATTTTGCAAAAAAACCGGACGTCTCTAGCTCTTTTACTTTCCAAATTAGGCTCCAACCAGTAAGGTTTCCGGGGTATTTTTAGACACTCCTATAAATTTTGTGTATATTTTATTGTTTCAAAAATATTTGTAACAATGGACCATTTTCATTACTTGATTTAATTGAATATATATATATTGTTTGAATCACATTTTATACTTTCGGAACTATACTCGTTTGCCTATATTTGTTTATTGTTTCGATGTATAATTTAATTACAATACAGATTTTCATGTATCTTCATTGATTTGGAGTCCTCATCAATACCAATTCCCATCGTTTTTGTCATATGTCTCAAAAGTCTATCTTCTTCACCATGATATTATCAAGAAAACAACAATTTCAAGAAAGCAACAATTTTATTTAGTATCAGTTAAAGCAGACAAGAACATATTTTATTTTTTCAGAGACGGTAGATTATTAAATGTTGCATATGATCTGAAAACATGAGGCAAAACAGATTAGAAATAACGGAGTTATCAAGCATTTTCTGTATCTCGTTAACAAAATTGACTGGGTGATTATGTGACACCGTGACACGACACCTTAATTGGGCACCCTTAACAATTCCCATAATGTTTAACGGGGTGGTAAACGGGGTCACCTAATCACGTGATTAGGTAAACCATTCACCTGATCACATGTAATGAATAAACTTGTTATGCTTCATATCTCGGTCATCTGAGAAGCTTAAGTTCTAATTTTTTCAGGACAAACGTAATTCGAATGGCCAAACACAATTCAATAAAATTTAGCTCGATCCGACTATCCAAACTATCAAATAAATGCAAAAATGAACCTTCATTTGAAACAAATGAACTCGAATATTCTTCGATTTGACAAATTTCTCAAACCAGAGATAGTAGTAAGTCGTACCAGAAAGAATTATTTCAATTGGGCACTCAGTGACTGAGCTATTAAGGCCAACGTATGCCCCCTGACTTTTGGCCCACCCTGTATTAATAGTGCTTTCGTTCTCAATTTTATCAAGTTAATGGAAGTTTATAGGCAATTGCTTGATGTTTAAAATTTTTTATGAACAGTGTTCCAAAGCTTGGCTGCATTAAACAAAAAGGTATTTGATTTATTTAGAAGAATAACCGTTAGACTCGTTGCACGGTTTGAAATGTTGATAGCCTCATAAAGGGAGTATGGGCAGTGGTACTTGATAATCTTAGAGAATTCTAAAATATGATTGGTTGATACTGGATTGGTTTTCAGGGATCACTGTTAGATGTGTAAGATTCGACGGAATTAGAGAAATAAAATTACTGGAGTTCATATTTTAAAATCTTTTGAAGTAGCTATTTGCTGAATGCACCATTTTGATCATTCAATATAATAACTTATCTTTTCTTTAAATCTTGAACGTTGATCGGTAATCTCAATATAATAAAACAAAAGTTAATAAAACAAAAGTTAAATTTATTACCAATTATTCAATCAATACATATCATAAATTCTAATATTGGAAACACAATGCAGAATGGATGTCTTAAACTATAATTTTGTTGTCACTAATAATCTATTTACTTTCAAAGTTGAAATTTAGTTAAGTATGAAATGCCACCACATCATAGTTAGGGTAAAATATAATTCTTAAAAATTTTAAAATTGAGAAGATTGCTCTATGACTTAAAATTTAAAATTTAGCAAAAGATATCTAATTTTTAAATAGTTGGTTACAGTTTATGACAGTACTGGCATGATCAATTTTATTGTGGCTGGTAAAAGGACCCAGTTGCCTGTAAGGGCTTTACCGAACCCCTGGGGACCACAATGTGATGGGATCAGGCCAGATGTTTCTATGTAGAGCAATTTATTTATTTCGGAGCTATGGTTACGTGGTATAGCTGGTGGTCATGTTTAAAGGTCAGTTTATCTTTGTGTGCTAATTATCCATCCAGATGCTTAGTGATGTGAGTAAATCATGCCCTTCTACAATATATCACGTTTAACTATAAATTTGTTTTTACCACAGAAACTGTGGCACTAAGGTCAAGAATTAAAAATTTGTACTCTCATTGATAGTTAAAGCGTTTTTTTCCCCAGCACTACTACACAACAAAAACCTGTCGGCCCACCGAGGAAACACAGTCGCAGAACAAGGAACCCAATTGTGCTCCTCTATTCTGCGATCGTGTGTATTTACTATAAACTAGCTAAATGCAGTTAGTAAAATTTTCTGGAATCATTAAAGTCGTTTGATTAGTTTATGTGTCAAAGTAATGTCCATGATAATCATATATTTGGATCCCCGGTGGGCAAACACTCGTCCCAAAGGCTAAGGCAAACCTTTCAATGTTTCACCATACGAAGTAAGGAGATTTGAACACATACTCAGCCTACAACTCCACCCATGGGACGAGACGTCGTGAGCCTCAAAATATATAGCATATACCCAGTCAGCAAACACTATACACAACATACATACGATAACAAACAATGTATAATGCCATTACTTCATTTAAAAGAAAATATGAAGAACTTAAGACAGGGAGAATTAGTCCGATTTACAAAAAGGAAGATGAACAGCTTTTAGGAAATTATAGACCCGTATCGACACTACCTGTTTTTGGGAAAATACTAGAAAAACTGATATATGCTAGGTTGTATAGTTTCTTAACCTCTAAGGGAATAATTCATGAAAACCAATTTGTTTTCAGAAAAGGGCATTCCACTAGTCATGCACTTAATTATTCTGTAGAACATATTGAATCGTTAACTAGCAAAAAGCAGCACGTACTAGGTGTCTTCGTAGATCTTTCTAAAGCCTTTGATACCCTAGACCACTCTAAGCTAATAACAAAATTAAATAACTATGGTATCCGAGGAAATGCTCTAAATCTTATCTCTAGTTATTTATCTAATAGAAAACAATTTGTGGACGTTCTTGATGTAAAATCTGATGAATTACCTGTAGAATTTGGAGTCCCCCAAGGGAGTGTGCTCGGACCTCTACTGTTCATACTGTACATAAATGATATTTGTAATATAACAAGTTACTTAAAAAATTGTATTTTACTTATATCTGCTATCTAATTTTAAAAAAAATTGAAGAATAAACCTGAAGATAGGAGAAGGAGAGAGGGGTTTGGGAGAGGTAGAGTAGGAAAACAACAGGATCCTGTGCCGCAGGATTTTAAAATTTGTTGTATGATGATTCGTTTTGTGTCGTCTCTTAGATTAATATAGGTCTGATACCCTTGTCATGGTTTTTTGCAATAACACCGTGGTTTACTCATATGATTATGTTTACTAAATCAACCTATTTCAATGATAATTCATTTGCATCAAAGTTGTAACTGCACCAAAGCTGTCGGTCATATTTAGATTGTAGTTCTAACAAAGATTTCTTAAGATTATTCTTGAATATACTGATGGGAGTGGAGAAGTCTATTTCACTTGTTGACTTACGGCAGTGATTCCAAATACTAGTTGATTGATAGATGAATAGTGAGGATGGAGTGGGTGGGATGAAGTAGTTGTCTCGTCTTGGTGACCTGTTGAATAAAGAGAACATTGAGACTGGTGATTGGAACTTATTAATTTTAAACATTTCCAGTAAACAGTGCAACTTATGAAGATTGTGGACAGTCAGGAAGTTATACTCGTTACAGATTGGTTTACTGTGTTCTAGTTCAAAGAAATCTTTGCCTAACATCTGCTTGATAACTTTACCGGTCTTATCCCTAGTGATAGGCCTTACTCTGGCACATGTTTTGAACTTATTGAAGTATGCATCATTATCACCAAAGAGAATTCTTATGCATTTCTTTTGTGTTTTAAATATGGCTTCTAGTTTATTATTTGATACACCTCCCCAAACAGATATTCCATAACATAGGTGTGATTCAAAAAGGGTGTGGTACAGGTCCTTATATAGTTTTTTTAGGTACACAGCGTCTAATTCCACATAGTCTACCTATCTCACATTTCAATTTACGGTTTAACGCTCTTAAGTGAGCATCCCAGTTCAGTTTTTGGTCAATAATGACTCCAAGAAACTTAGTTTCCTCCACCTTTTTAATTACTATATTATTTAGTGTCAGTTCTAATTCATTGGTGTTTGAATCTGGTTCATTTCTACAGTTCGGCTTAAAGTGGATATAACAACATTTCTTTATGTTGATATGCAGCAAGTTACTCTTCATATACTGATGAACAAGTTTAAGAATTTTATTAGCTTTGCAGTAAAGTGTTTTTATACATTTATCTATAACTCGTGGTGGTGCAGCCTGGACTTAATTTGGGATCCCATTACAAGTTACAGTAGGGTGAATTTGTTGTTTTCTGAAGCGCCCCGCTCAGTGGCGTAACGTTGCCTGTTGGCGCCCTTGCTGAAAATGCGCCCCCTGTTGGCGCCCCCTCCCCTTTTGGCATCCCTCCCTAAAATTGAGCAAATTAGATGATTTTAGAGGATACGCCGGTAAAATCTCTAAAAAAGTGTTTCTAGAGCAAAACGCTCATATCAGTGTTGCTAGTACTGTAGTCAAGTTTTTCCAAATTTTCCCACGATTTGGTGCCCCCCTAAGATTTCGCCCCCACACAGTGGGGACTGGGGCCTTCGTTACGCCACTGGCCCTGCTGTGCGGGCTACTGTTTGAAGGAAAATTTATTGGTATCGAAAATTGTGATTTTGTTTCAAAACTGTGAACAATTCATTCATATTCATTCAAAATAATGACAAAATAATTGTTCAGTATGAGAAATCATGGAAAGAGACCAACTTCAAGATACAAGGAGGCCCCAACTTCAAGATACAAGGAAGCCCACCGGAAAACAATTATGGGAACACGGTTTCATGAGCTATTCTTTACCCCACTCCCTCCTGATGCCAATCCTGCTAAAGTTCAAGCTCTCCTTCAACCTACAGGTGTTCAGTGCAAAGATGTTAGACTTCACAAAGGAGTAAAAGGTAAATGATAATCTCATCCAAATTATCCATATTTACTTAGAGCTGTTGTTCATCCATTGCATGTATTTGATTAATATTGATAGAATTGATCAAGATTATCTCGATCTATCCCATTAATTTGTCATCCCATTTTTATTTAAATAACAGTTATTGTGTCTCATTCTGATTCATTTTACCTAATAGAAATATACAGGGTGGGCCAAAAGTCAGTGTGCAAACGTTGGCCTTAATAGCTCAGTCACTGAGTGCCCAATTGAAATACTTCCTTCTGGTATGACTTAGTACCACCACTGGTTCGAGGAATTTGTCAACTCGAAAAATATTCGCGTTCATTTTTTTCAAATGGAGGTTCATTTTCACATTTATTTGATAGTTAGGATAGTCGGATCAAGCTAAATGTTATTGAATTGTGTTTGGCCATTCGAATTACGTTTGTCCTGAAAAAATTAGAATTGTAGCTTCTCAGATGACCGAGATATGAAGCATAACGAGTTTATTCATTACGTGTGATCAGGTGATTGGTTTACCTAATCACGTGATAAGGTGACCCCGTTAACTACCCCGTTAAACATTATGGGAATTGTTAAGGGTGCCCAATTAAGGTGTCGTGTCACGGTGTCACATAATCACCCAGTCAATTTTGTTAACGAGATACACAAAATGCTTGATAACTTCGTCATTTCTAACCCGTTTTGCCTCATGTTTTCAGATCATATGCAACATTTGATAATCTACCGTTTCTGAAAAAATTAGGCGTTCAGCATGTTCAGAGAAAACAATATAGGTGTTTTAATCTTGAATGGGCGTGGTCTAAAATATTCAAATTTTCAAATTTTGACGACGGAGTCCTCGAACCAGTAAGTACAGTATGCCATCTACAAAGCAACAGCTCTCAAATATAAAACACGGCGGAGGTATAAGACCCAACGTTTGCACACTGACTTTTGGCCCACCCTGTATATTTATCGTTTCAGGAATCAGTGCATTTGTCGTATTTCATTGTGATGCTGATGCTGCTGCTGCTCTTAAAGCATTTAGAACTGACCCTTTATTCATAGAGAACAAGAGAATTGAAGTGAGGTACACTATGAACTATTCTAATGAAACCATTAATCATAGTCAGCAAGTTACAGCTAGAATAAAACAAGCATTCAGTTGGATGACAGAACATAACATCAGTGCCAGAGAACTGCCAAACGAGCTTGAAACCTTGGTTGGTACAACCAATTTCACTGATATTGATACCAATTTCACTTGCAAAGATAGGCACACTGAGTGTGCATTCTTCAGTCATGTCACAAAATCTGGAGTTGTTGAGGAGTCACATGATACTTTACCTGTTGAAGCACCAGAAAGTGTAATTTACAAACCAAATGAGATTTTGCAACTGTACAAAAAATCACAAGAGCCTGCAAACCAGGGTCCAAAAGTTAGTAAATCTTCCAAAAAGAAGTCTGCTAAGAAGAGACAAGCTCTTGCTAAAATAGAAGCGGAACTTACCAGACAAGCCAACATTGCTCCCCTTGAACCTGGTATGGGAAGAGGTTTCTGTCAGCAACGTCCCAGAATCTCTCCAGTTATATCACAAGCAAATATCGCAAATTTGCCCATCAGTATCAATAAACCATGTGCCGTAATATGTCCAACTAAAAGACAGGACATTCCTACTTTTAGCCTCATGGAGAAGTTTCCGGAAGCTAGTCCAGAGAAACTCTTCCAGGCTAAAAAAGAAACTCACATACCACGTGATCTTACAGAAGGGAGAAGTATGTTCATGAGTCCTGAAGAAGTTACCAACAAATTCTCTGAGCATGGAAAAGAGAAGAGTGGGCTACCTGAGTCCAGAAAGTGTATGGGTAGAGGAAGAGGCTACATAAATCTTAGTGCGGATAAGTTACAAGAATTCAAGAGCAAATTTTGATCCGTTAAAATCAGTGTGATCTTTGTTTTTAGAATGTGATGATAGTTGCAGTATTGCCACTATTACAGTTTGATAATGGTATATACTTTTAATTCCTTTGCTCAACAATTTATACTGTAAATCCAGAACACGCTTTTAATTCATACACTGTTAAACTCCAAAAACAACGCGAAATTTGGGTTTGGGGATGAGTGAAAATGTGGCTGAACCCCCCACAATTTTTTATGTTGTGCTTTTTATCCATGGAAATATTTTAATTTTAATCATTTTTTATCATAATTTGGCTCAGGCTAGTAATCCTGGTATAATTTTATTTGTATGATCAGAGTAAAACTTCATTATATAATCGCTTTATTGTATTGCTACTGACCCTCAAATTACTAATAGAATGTCTTACTAGTCATGAATCAAGTTTATATTACCATATAAGGTCATGATTATTGTACAGGATTAACCAAAATTCGCTGCCCATACGCAACTCTTGAATAACTCACATAATTCTACGCAACAGTGCATCCAAGTTTCAGGGGATAGAAGTATGTGTCGTAATTAGATATCATTATAACTATTAACGATTAAAACCTCCACTAGCTTCATGATGAAGAAGCCCCTCCAAGCCCCGGTCCAACATCTCTCCCGCTCCCTCCCTCAACTTTCCAACACACCTGTTTGCCACTGTCCGGTTTGTTGTTCCTGTCGAGCTGGTGATAACCGCCGGTCCTGGAACACCCCCTGTCCCCTTCTTTCTCTTACTATTCCTGAGAAATCAACCAGACCGTGAGTGTGATAAGTATGCATTTTTCTTTATCGTGAATTTGTTATATGATTTTACTAAAGTAACCGTCATGGGATCCAAACGATTCTACGAATTTTAATGAAATTTAGATATTTTCAGTTCATCAATGATCTCGCCTGGTTCCCAATCCCTGACAACAGATGTTACCCTGACTCGGAAGACGAGTTTACCTCCTTCCAACTGCAGCTCTGAAGTCGAGAATGTCCCTGAATCTGCTGGAGACAGTACTTCTGCTGGAGACAGTACTTCTTCCTTTCTGAGTGCTGAAACTAGAAACTGTCATGTTAGAAGGTTCGTGGTTAAATGCTACATTCCAGCAAAAATTTATTGGCCGAACTTCAAATATTTTACGTTCAATGTACTTAATCAAAACTATATTCCTGTACATCGTCTATGTAAACAGTTTTGATTAACTATTTAATTTACGAAGATGTGGTATGTAAATAATTCCGCGCTGGCATTGTCGATAAGAATTCCTTCATAACTTGATCTAAAGACAGCAATATTCCATAGGTCATGCCCTGACTCGACTAAGAGGTGCAGTGTAGAGGAAGACAGCCCTCTTCTGTCATTTGGGCGGAGGAAACGCTTCCGACGACCCCGGGTTTGTGGGCCCTTTCCTTACTTCCCCTTGCTATTTTCAGTAATCATATTATGAAAACGATTCTTCGCATTGAAACACGGGTGATTATTAACATTCCACGAAATTTTTTAAACGTTGAACAAATCATCAACCATAAACACTCAGTTTATTTCGTATTGCAGGACTTATATTATTATACATATTAACAATTTCTTACCCTACAATATTTGATATTTATTTCATTTCCACATAAAACCATAATTGCACCCTCTTCAGCAAGGAGTTCCGACAGTGCAGTTTCACACACATCTACGAACAATGCTGGGATGGTACGAAGAATTTGATGACGCCCAGAAGAACGACTTTTTAAAACAACTTCTAGAAATTTCCAACTCTCCCCAAACCCACCTGTTGTCGACCCTGATGGCTCCAATACTTCATGCTAACTGTCCACACAACTGTACTGATATACTTTACTGGTTGCCACCTGGACTCAGCTTAGAGGTGGGTTTTTGTTTAATGGCTGTATAAACTCCTCCGGGATACTGCCAAGGGAGGGGATATAGAAAATAAGGGGCGGTGTTATTTTGATCCATACCGCTGTTTTTCCCACTTTGTAAATAATTCCTTCTCCTATTCACTCAACCCAGTTCTAGTTTGGTTTTGTTGAGTGATATCTCGTCTTTATTCCGTGTGCTGGTTTATCATGTCACGTGTTCTGATGACGCGTATCACATGACCTACTACTATGACACGCATTGGTCAAAAATGTCACGTGACCTATAACTTAACAAAAAAACTAAAGATCTGCTTGGCAGTTGGCACGTGCCAGTCTTGCAGGCGCTGACAAAGTTCCAGCACGTTTCTTGGACAATTTCCAGAACCTGTCTTCACTCTGTACTGTTAAAGTTGTAGATTTTGTTGTACCGGGTGCCCACTGCCCAGTTTGATATAGCCACCGTTTTCAGATAATATCATCATTCTACAACTAATAAGAAATGTTCCAATCTGTAAACTTCATATTGTATTCTATCATTAAGTTCTGTGAGATGCTCTGTAATCTCGGTATCTTAGTAGGCCCAACATCTCGTAGTAAATTGGTATGGTAAATTAGAATAGTGGTCGTACAAGTGGACACCAGAACAGCGGCAGAACCTCAGATTATCTGGCTCTACATCTGCACTGTCTGATACGGAATAATATCAGACATTCCTGACATTCCTCTAGCTCCTTTATAAATATGTCTTTATTTAATCTTTTACCTATAACTAACGCCTTTTACCGCCGTTCTGCCAACTTTCCCCCGACGTTATTATCACTGATAATTACAAGCAGAATTGAGGCATTCTTCCTTGCATGATATAAATAAACTATAAGTAAAGTTGTAAGAGCAACGCATTATGCTAAAGAATGATGTAGTGGTTCGGAGATATAAGAAGAGCTACTGATTGATTGGGAATCGAGCGGTTTACTCGATTAATGTTTACTCAAAATTATAATACAAACAGTAATAGATAGAAAATAGTAATGTTAAAAATTCTTTTTTTTTTTAACCCTCTGGAAAGGGCACTGCACACTGTTATCAAAAAGTACACTGTGATCATGAAGTACTATGAACTACAGATTTAAAAACACGACGCTTCACGCTACACATGATATTACACATCCATAATATCGATCCTATAGGTTAAGAAGTTTAGACTTGCACTGAACAGCTTGGACTATTGTTTTTTAAATTTTGTGCAAAATTTTACCATCAGTGATTAATGATTTTGGCCGGTAACTCAGCGCTTACAGTAATTATGAGCGCGCGATTGAGATAAATGTATGGAAAAGGAATTTAGCGGCAGTGAAATGCTTGCTTATCTACGCTAAGTGGGGGTAGTTTTGCGAGCGGTTATTATATTGGTAGTCAGTAATTGCAAGTTGTTATTTAAATTCGTGTCATTTAGTGTATTTTCTATATATGCTGGGTTGTGTGATTTTCATACTGCTCCCTGTTGCATGCGATTAATTAGACAATAGACTTAATTTAAACTTAGATTATATTCGTTTCAGTTGAAATTGAGTTGTAAACGATAAGACCATGCACAGTGAGAATTTCATGTTCACTGAAAAATGGCTTTGTGTGTTGTGGTAAGGCACCTTCCTTAAAGTAGTAGTTTACGAAGCCAGGCATAATAGCCCTTATTCCTTGCTTCTGTTTGCTGAATATAGCATCTATATGGCTTTTTGCAGCAAAACCCCATATCAATGAACAATAGTTTATATGAGACTGTACAAAGCTTTGGTATATCTGGAGTCTAACTTTAATCGGCAGCCGACTTTTTATTTTGTACATAATACCAATATACCGCATCATTTTCGATTTAAGAGCAGTAATGTGACTGGTCCAGGTCAATTTTTCGTCAACAATTACGCCAAGAAATCGGGCCTCAGTTTTTCGCTCAATAGTGGTGCCTGCAATTTGAATATTTACGTCAGGTGTTGAGGAGCATGTAGCACGTTTTCTTAAGGTTTAACGAAAGACCATTTTGATCTACCCAGTTTATCAATAAAGGTGAAAATTATGTCATCTTTTGTAGTAATTCTTGATGATTTTTACCTGATATAATTATGTTTGCGTCGTCAGCATATAAAACAAATTTAGCGTACGATTTGATTTTTGGCATGTCATTGATATATATTATGAAAAGTAAAGGTCCTAGAATACTGCCTTGCGGCACTCCATGTCTCATGGACTGTGAGGAAGAATTTGTGCCCCCTATTGAAACATACTGACTCCTGGAACTTAAATAAGACTTGAACCATTGGTGTGCTAGTCCTCTTATACCATAATGATACAGTTTGTCTAAGAAAATATCGTGGGAAATTACATCAAACGCTTTGCTAAAATCAAGTAGGAGGAGTAGAGAGACCTCTTTTTTGGAGAGGTTGTGTCTAATCGTGTTGGTTGCATCAAGGAGCGCATGTTCACGCGACCGACCCGCCGAAAACCGTATTGTCCTTCAAATAAAGTGCTATGTCGCTCTAGGAAGTCAAGGACTCTTCTGTGCATGAGTTTCTCATAGATTTTTGAAAAGGTGCAGAGCAATGATATTGGTCTGTAGTTTTTCACATCTAGTTTTGAGCCTCCCTTAAGGATAGGAATTACTTGATATCACAATAAAATAAATCTGCCTTTATGAAGATTGCAGCTCGTTATTTTAAGAAGTGGATCATGTTGGACAATAAGCAACAATTTTGTGTTAGGAATGTTGCAACATATTTGAAGCCCATACCACCCTTACAGTTCAGCAGGCATGGATCCAGCTGTGAAATTCTGGGAGGGTGACGTGGCGCAAAGCGCCACCGAAGGAGCCACGGCAGGGGTTCGGGGGCGCAGCTATATATATCGATGGCTGTTTCTATTAAGGGATTTCTTCTGTTTCTAGAGTAAAACAACAATGTTAATTAACAGTTCAATCTCGACCATTTTAGAATGTAGGGTTACAAAAAAACAGTTAAATTACTTCAAAACCACTCTTCTCGGGTTTTCTGCAAATTTGTATTATATAACTTTACCAATGTCTATTGCCTTTTCATGGCTAAGTAGGACCAGGTAATGGTTTTCTTCAGATCCATAAGCTTCTGAATGATGTTAGGGGTGCTGGCGGGATTTGGTGGAATGTCTGCCATTTGCATCTTCAAGCACTCAGCCCTTAGTATCGAGGGCCTGATCCCTAGAACGCTGTAGTGCTCAAAACACCTTTATACAATAACATCAAACTGAAACATTCAAACATGAACTGACACCATGGACATTGGACAGGACTATATTATAATTAGGTATGACATAGATAGCACACCCTCACTGAATAGTGAACCATATACACATAACACAAACAACGTATCATACTATGAACAAGAATAGGAAGTTAGTATCATCGAGTCGTATGAGTTCAGTTCGTAGTTTCCATAATAACTTCTTGAAGCAGGAGATAATAAGTTTCAATAAGCAAGCAATAACCAAATAAATCATCCAATAATCTGGATGGTTTATCATAAAATAAGATTATGATAAGTTTAAATATAACCCCTGTTCGTTTCAGCGTTATGTGTGCTATAATAATGAGCCATTTCACTCTTGTTTAAATGCTTTATAATTGATTTCCCACTATAATATTAATCCATATTATATATTCGTTATGTTGCCTTAAGTTCTACTTTGTCTATCTCTTTGGATGTAAGGTTGTCATTTATTATACTGTGTTCATATTCACACATATTTATTACCTTACCTTGATCCACATATTCTTTGTTTTAAGTGACAAATCAAATAAATTAACACTTTTAAAAGTACAATAACAAGGAAGAACGTCTAATAAATACAGATATCTACAGATAGGTAGCGCGTGTGTATTGTAAATGTAGTGTATTTCTTGTTATATTAGTAATAGTATTGTATTGTAAAATATGTAGTGTATTATTAATATTACTGTATAACACACTAAACGATATCCCTACCATCCCTACGCTCAAAAAAATATGTCCTATTTTTTGGTTCTCTTTTTTCGATTCACTCAATTAATTAATTGAGCTTTATAAAATCGTGAACGTGCTCACGTATTAAATTTTTCTCACTCAAATAATATACTCGCTGTGGTCGTAATCGATATTATAATTGCATTTTGTTGTCCGCACCCAAGTTTCTGTTTGTGTATCCTAATTAAAACTCGAGTAGCTGCAGTCCTAATCCTGCCCGGCACCACCGATACACGTATCGATTACTGTGTGCAAATTAATTCGCCCGTACAATTTTATTTCGCAAATAAAATGTGAATTTGTTCACTGTATTGTTTGCGTATGGAACTAAGGGGTAGGTACCGTGTTGAGGCATCTCTAATCTCTATGTACAGTTATCAAATTATATCGTATAGATATCACCTTACAAATTATGTCACTATTAAGCAATTCAAATAATCACTATATATATAATATTCTAGAAACTTCCTCCTCAGTGTGTACATTCTTAATGTATTATCTGATTTATATATAGTTATAAATCGTTATCTTACAACAAGGCTCAATATTAGATCATGTGGTGTCTGCTGAGATGGCTCCAAATAAACAACATTAGATATCAGAATTCGGAACTACTCAACATCCTTATTCAAGAATAAACATCCCACTTTACAATAATGACATTGTTTTTATAATGATTGATATTGTAATTACTAATTACCAACTGATTAACAGGTGATTAAAACTGCTATTTTCAGATACTGGGATATTTGGACGCGTATTCCCTAGCAGAGTGTCAGAAAGTTAACAAATACTGGTATCGTTTGAGTTGTGACACAAAGCTGTGGAGAGATTTGTGTTTCAGACCTTTTTACAGGCTCGGAGCAAAGGTAACTTTTAGCTGTGTACTGTTCACGGGTTGGTTGGTTTGTGTCACGTGATTAGATATTTTAAATTTAGAAGCTCAAGTTCACTGTCAGATATTATTGGAATGTTAATTATATATATAGTGTGCAACTATCGTAACCACTGCGAAGCCATGCTTGTATTTTCTGCAGAATATAATTAACGTGAGAACGTGGTATAATAATTGTATTGAATATTCAATTTTATACGGCAAATGTTGTACTCCATCACTTATGATACCACACAAAAATCTTGCCAGAATAAAACTTTTGCGACAGTTTTTACCACCCAAAAAACGTCACAGATAAATATAGCTTATTTATCAGCTATATTTAGTGCTAAGTTCTGTCACGATACTAATTTTGAAGCTGTATAAATAATGTAGCATTATATTATTATCATAACTCCATATTTGATATGGATCATTCAAAATATAACCAACTTTTGTCAAGAGTCAAGACCATGCCAGTAGAAACACAGTCTGCCCGTCTCTCTCAACTTTCACTACATTTCCACCCTTTAAATACAGGAGTTACTTTCCCACACTTCCCTGTATTAATTTGTCTGCTGTAGATAAAAGTGTAATTCTACTAATTATAATTACAGTCTAACCTATCTGTATGTTTACAGCACAGCTTATAAAACACATTATTCAGGTAGCGTCAAAACAATTGGAGATATTCAAGTCTCGGTACGGGTATATACCTTGGAGACGAGTGTTCATAGAGAGGTACAAATTACAACACAACTGGTTGACTGGTAACTGTTACGTGAGGACGTTTGAGGGACATACACAGGTGAATGTTAACACGGTTTATTGTAAGTTTAGAGCGAGCTAATCAATGGCGATTATTGAACATTGCTGTTTTCATCTAAGCATCACATGATTATGATTAATTTACCAACATCCAATTTTGTATAATCCCCAAAATACGAAATTGACATTTCACAGGGCATCACATGTGTACAGTTCGACGACTTCAGAATTGTTAGTGGTAGTTCTGATAAGACTATAAAAGTATGGAGCACCAGATCCAACACCCCCTGGGGCGGATTAACACTAAGAGGACATAGTGGTACTGTTAGGTGCTTGCATCTCAATAATAACCAACTTGTCAGCGGTTAGTTCTCACTGTTAGGTGCTTGCATCTCAATAATAACCAACTTGTCAGCGGTTAGTTCTCACTGTTAGGTGCTTGCATCTCAATAATAACCAACTTGTCAGCGGTTAGTTCTCACTGTTAGGTGCTTGCATCTCAATAATAACCAACTTGTCAGCGGTAAGTTCTCACTGTTAGGTGCTTGCATCTCAATAATAACCAACTTGTCAGCGGTTAGTTCTCACTGTTAGGTGCTTGCATCTCAATAATAACCAACTTGTCAGCGGTAAGTTTTCACTGTTAGGTGCTTGCATCTCAATAATAACCAACTTGTCAGCGGTTAGTTCTCACAGTTTAATTTAATTTTAATATTGATCGAATTTAGTTTTGTTGTGGTGTAAACTTTCCGAATGTTTGATACAGGATACTGTATTTTATCTTTTAGATATTCTAGAATATATGTTATGAAGCGTCGAGTAAGGTTGACCAACGAAAGGTTGAATAATGATATTTTATATATATATATATATATTATTAGTCAGCCACAACTATCAGTAAAACAACGCCTTGACTTCAAATGTCGGTAAAATGTACCTTTACAGTCATCCTGATATAAAGACATGTTAGTAAATTTATTCAAAATATCAATCCATCAATCAATCAAATAAAAGAAATTTAAAATTTAGAAATTTATGTAACTCAGCAATTCAAGTTATGGTGGGTGGAAATCCCAAATGAGTGGTAGAGGTGAGAAAATAAAATATGCAAGAAAAAAATCATCTTTCTTCTCTAACATTCATCCCTCCAAAGTGCTTTAAAGTTTTAAGCTGGTTTTGCCAAAAGTTCTCCCTTTGTTTACATATACTTAGTCTATCCTGGGCACATTGCTCAAAATTCCCAACGTCAACTTGCTCTATAATCGAAACATTAATGTCCTTACTTAAAGTACTGGTAAACAACTTAGTGGTGGTACGGTCAAGATTGTGCAAAATCTCATTATCTATAAAATGGCAGGAAAGTTCACAAGTCCTTCTTTGGGTTTTAATGTGGGATTTATGGTTCCTAAATCTAACCTTTAAAGAGTCTGAAGTACATCCTATATAACTTAACTTACAAATATTATCATTAACTATGTACACAACATTTTTAGTATCACACATATATATATATATTTATTTTTATTTTAGGTTCAAGCGATTGTACGATTAAAGTTTGGGATCTTGCTGAAGGAGTTGGATGGTCAAGAAGTAGATGTACTGTAACTATGGTGGGCCACAGTCATACAGTCAGATGTTTACAGGTTGTATTTTTGTTAGCAATCACTAATTGGTAATCACTAATTAGCAATTTGACATTGCTCCCAGATCTAAAGTAATTGGACAACGATGGGCACAATATTCGGTCACAGTGGATAAAATGTAAATTGTAACGCGCGCCGCAAACTATGAGAAAAAACTAAATCAATCTTATCGGATGACTGCGCGGCGTTTTCGTCCGCAAAGTAAAACATAACATAAAACGTGCAGTCAACCATGTTGTTGTTTTCCTAAAATAAAATGGCGGCTTCGAATAATTCTCTGAGTGGTCACTAGTCCACCGTTAAATTTCCATATATCATTCCTAACATGTTTGTATTCTTGTAATCAGGTAGGTCTAGGGGTTGTAGTTAGTGGTTCCTACGACCACACCCTAAAGAAATGGCGACTGAGCACTGGGGAATGTCTAGCCACTCTACGTGGACATTTGGCAGCTGTGTTGAGTGTACAGTTTGATTGCAGCAAGATAGTCAGTGGTTCCTGCGATAACACTATTAAGGTTTGTAATCACCGATTTTGTTTGAATGTTAGGGGCACTTCTACTTAAATTACTGTCTAAAGATAATATTATGTTCTATGTTTGTATGGGATATGAACGATTTTTGGTTCGTCTCAACATACATAAAAACGTTTTTACCGAGTTACAAAAAAGTTTTAAAAATAAATTGATGAATAACTAATAAGTAATTAATGTAATCATACCGCTATTATGTAATAAACACCTTGATAGGTGTGGAGTTTTGATACAGGAGAATGTTTGGCGACACTATCTGGTCACAACAACGCTGTCACGTGCATACACTTCGACCATTCCCGGATAGTATCTGGGAGTTTAGATACCCAAATAAAAGTTTGGGACATCAAAAGTGAGAGGTGTATTCAAACACTCGACTGGGCGAGGTATGTTGAAATGAAATACAGCTTGTTGGACAGACAAATTTATTCGCAAGTTTTCTCAGCTGATTTAAGAGTTCCATATTTGTTTTCATCTGTAACGTCTCCCTTTCCTGCCCAGTGCTGAAGGACACACTGGTGTTGTGAGATGTTTACAAGCAGATACCTGGAGGATTGTTAGCGCTGCTGATGATAAAACAATCAAGGTAAATAGCCCCCCCCCCCCCCCCCCCCCCCCCCCCCGGCCCCCCCTCCCCCCCCACATCCTACATACAATATGATACACATTTGTATTTCAATGTTTGACTTGTTGACACCATTATTCAAACAAAATCCTTGTAGAAATTGCGAGAGAGGCAAAGTTGACAAGTAATATTTTGGATATTTTCACATGAGAGTAACCCCGATAACCACTTTAAACTTATACAGGTGTGGCAAGTGAAATTCATATATAATCATCATAGCTTACTAACTCAAACGTAAAAATTGTAACAAAAGCAAAATTTAATCAGTCAAAATTCGTAAGCTGATTAGCAGTGACTAGAACTACTTATCAAACAAAAATGCACTAATCGGTCTTAGAACTGCTGTGTCCCATTACTGTAAATTGATAACGCTAAGAAATCTTGTTAAAGTAGTGACGATAACACTAAAAGCATAATATTGCCTCTTCTACATACCAGCTTTATTAATTGTAAACACGACCAAATGTATCAATTTATCAAATGATCCAGGTTAAATTTTGGATATTTTGGATATTTTGGATATTTTGGATATTTTGGATATTTTGGATATTTTGGATATTTTGGCATGAGAATAACCCTGATAACCACGTTACAGGTGTGGTCACTAGAGAGCGGAAAGAGACTGGTAACACTGCGAGAACACACTGACGGCGTCACGTGCCTACAATTTAACGATCTAAAGATAGTTTCGGGTAGTTACGATAAAACTGTCAAGTTGTGGGACTTTACCAAATCTTGAGAATACAAAGTTGGGGGGGGGGGGGGAGGGGGGGGGGGGGGAGGGGGGGGGCAACCATATTAAAGTATATTAAAGTATATCCCCGGGTCAAAATCGGAAAAAAACCTACATTTTGATATACTTTAATATGGTTGACACACCCCCCCCCCCCCCCCCCCAAGTTACCTGGAATAAAGACAGTTTATAGTTAGCAAGAAGAATCAGGTTGATCATTCATGGAGGAACTATTGTGTATTGTTGTCGTGGCTATTTAAGACTTTTCGTGGACTAAAACTCTGAATTAAGTAATTTGTTACAAGATGTTTTACTTCTTTTCACACTATATTTTATTGGCCATTACCTCATTTTCTTTATTGTTTATTATGAGATTTGAAATTGACACCGTGCGGGTATTTTCCTGAGAACATTAAGTATTACCACTAACAGATTGAGAGTATGTTATGAAAACTTTAAGTTTGTACGGTTCATAATGATATTGTATATCGTTTGTCTTTTAACTACATAAAAGATTGATTAATTTAATGAGACTCAACGTGTGTATACTCATTTTTGTCACATCCCCTTAATGTGAAAGAGGGTGGAAATAAAATCACCGTTAAGCTTATTAGATTCGATAACTGTTCCTAGATTTAAAGTAAAAATTAACAAATCGGGTCCTACTTAACTCACTTTTTTACCCTCTAGTTCCATGGCCAAATTTTCCCGAATTTTTCGATTCACTGAAATATTTGAGCTAAAAAAATTTGTAAACGTGCTCAAAAACGTCGATTGGGCGACATCTGTCCGACAGCGACATCTGTCCGACTCAGAAAATAGGTTATTCGGACAATAGTTTATGTCGGATCATACCGTACGATTTTCTTGAAACTTTCCATAAAGTATACGTATGGTGGTTATAGGTAATAGGACAGATAATCTGTGTAAGTTTGAGCGAGTTTTTTTTACACACGCTGCAACCTTGCTCTTCTGAGAAACAATAATTACCAACAAATACAATCGTTTTAGTTGAAAAGAAAATTAAAATTACCCTCTAGCTTGATTCTTTATAATTTATATCCTCTGACTGTAAGTGTAAAACACAGTTTTAGAAATTAGCTGAAAAGCAGTACCTAATAACCACGTATCAAATAAACAATGTAGTTTTAATTAAGTTAAATAGGCATCCTACAGGACATTGTCGCATTTTAGGCGACATTGTCGCATTTTAGGCGACATTGTCGCATCTTAGGAACATGGTCACAGCTGTCATTCCGCCACTTCTTCATTCGGGTGTTTGTTTATGTGTTCGTGTGTTTGTAAACATACAGGTTATACAATCCCCAGGTATAGGATAGCAGAACAGAATAAATTATTATGGTTTTTTATTGCTCTCTTTTCTCGATCTCGTAGTTCTCTGAAATAGATTCAGCTGTAAATGGTATAACTGAACAGTATTGCGCAAAAATTAAACAAAATAACCACATTACACATCCCCCTAAGTGCATCCCCCCCCCCCCCCCCCTATATATAGTATACGATAAGACGATGGGTCCGACGATACTTTTAATACAACATACGCACTACACGTGCTACATTAGAATAATAAGAGAACAGTATGGTACACATGACGTGTACAATTGTCAATTACACACGTGTACAATTACACACGTGTACAATTACACACGCGTACAATTACACACGCGTACAATTACACACGTGTACAATTACACACGTGTACAATTACACACGTGTACAATTACACACGTGTACAATTACACACGTGTACAATTACACACGTGTACAATTACACACGTGTACAATTACACACGTGTACAGTTACACACGTGTACAATTACTCATGTGTACAATTACACACGTGTACAATTACACACGCGTACAATTACACACGTGTACAATTACACACGTGTACAATTACACACTTGTGCCCCTTATACATTGTCTTATCTTCTTATAGCTGATTTAACCTTGATCCTTTTCGTTAATACAATGTCTCACCAATGGGAGGAAACTCTGATCGCTCGGGCTTTATTTTTTCACCATAACAACTTGAAACTTCCTCAAAATCTAGCGTCCAGCAGCACCCTTAAAAGCAAGGAATTTATAAAATATAAAATATATTTCTTCACTGGACTAAGTTTGGTTTCAACTAAAACCATAAATAAAACTTTGCGCTATACTGGAGAAAGTATTCTATTAAATATTGAATTAGTGTTACGTCGTCAGATTCAAATATCTTTAGACGATAGATTATATATCCAGCAAACCTTGTTCAACATAGCGGCTACAAAAGGACGTGGTAGAAAGGCAAAGAGAACGTATCTTAGCGTCGCGGAGCGAGGTAACAGAAATCTGTAAAGTTTAACACAATGAAAAGGTTGTTTACTAGGTATATTAGGAGAAGGAGGAAACCATTAAAACTTAAAACTATCCAAGTTATGCAATTATAAATATACAATTTAACAGCGCAAAATAATAAGCTGAGCTTTGTGTAATTTTACATTATTCTTATGCAATTTCGATCTTATACTGCAAAAAAAACATTTTTCTTTCCTCGATCCAGCGTGAAATAAAATAAGCAACAATACCACTCAAACAGAGACTGCACCTCAAAGATTAAACTGAAAAGCAGAGTTACAATAAGTGAAAGTGAAAGTGAAAGTGAACGTGAAAGTGAAAGTGAAAGTGAAATTAACCTGAAAAGCAGAGTTACAAGTGGTATGCCCACAAGAAGACACACCGCACGTGCAGTCTATTCTCCTTCTCACCATCGCATTCCTTAAGTTAGACGAGACATCATTGTACTTCATTGCCAAGGTGCACCTGAGTCACAGGTTATAGAATTTTTTTATATATCATCGATGAACGAACCGAAATTTAAATCGTCTTTTTTTCTCAGATTACCTGGTGATTTGTAGAGGGTTTGAGTCAAATTCTCGGTTTACTTCTATTCCCAAAATGTAAAGTTGTCCGACTTTTAGCTCTTTGCCACACTTTCGGGGGGTCACAATACGAACAGTGCCCGTTTTAATCTTGAAACTGTGGTGGTAACTAGGTGGTAACTGGATAGTAGCTAGGTGGTAACTAGGTGGTAACTGAATAGTAACTAGGTGGTAACTAGGTGGTAACTAGGTGATAACTAGGTGGTAACTAGGTGGTAACTGGATAGTAACTGGATAGTAGCTAGGTGGTAACTAGGTGGTAACTAGGTGGTAACTAGGTGGTAACTGGATAGCAACTAGGTGGTAACTAGGTGGTAACTAGGTGATAACTAGGTGGTAACTAGGTGGTAACTGGATAGTAGCTAGGTGGTAACTAGGTGGTAACTGGATAGTAACTAGGTGGTAACTGGATAGTAACTGGATAGTAACTAGGTGGTAACTAGGTGGTAACTAGGTGGTAACTAGGTGATAACTAGGTGGTAACTAGGTGGTAACTGGATAGTAACTGGATGGTAACTAGGTGGTAATTATGTGGTAACTAGATAGTAACTGGATGGTAACTAGGTGGTAACTAGGTGGTAACCAGGTGGTAACTAGGTGGTAACTGGATAGTAACTGGATAGTAACTGGGTGGTAACTATCTGGTAACTAGATTGTAACTAAATGGTAACTAGCTGGTAACTAGGTGGTAACAAGGTGGTAAATAGGTGGTAACTAGGTGGTAACAACTAACAAGGTGGTAACTAGGTGGTTACTAGCTGGTAACTAGGTGGTAACAAGGTGGTAACTAGGTGGTAACATGGTGGTAAATAGGTGGTTACTAGGTGGTAACTATGTGGTTACTAGGGGGTAACTGGGGGTAATACGAACAGTGCCCGTTCTTGAAACTGGGGTGGTAACTGATAGTAAAAATGATTCAACTGTCCTGAGAATATAATTGATTGTGAGACTATAAAATCCATCAAAACAAAATTACTCGAGGGTTAAAGTGGTGTCTCATCAGTCATCGTAAACAAAATCGTTATAAATGTAATAACCTCATGAATTAAGGCTCAATTGCCCTGATTACTTTCCAGTAACTTCCCGGTTATATTGATTACTAATTGGTCTATAATTACCATTACCTTCTTCTAAAGATCTGGTTTACATTGACGTTATAGTAATTGTATTCCTCGTCGTACCACCCTCTACGTCTTACGTGTCCCAGAACCACTGTGAAGTGAAAGTGAAAGTAAAAGTGAAATAATAATACCACATAAAAAGCGAAAGCGAAAGTTCAACATGTCCCAGAATGGGGTAACTTGGGGTAACTCAACTATTGACTAGTTGAATATTAAATTAGGATATCCTCATAATGCAAGCTACAATTTAAAACAATTTACCACGGGAAAGTGAAAGTGAAAGTGAAAGTGAAAGTGAAAATGACAGTAAACGTACATAGTACCTGCATGTGGTGCACAATAATCAGTTTGTAATCGAAACTCTTGACACCTCTCGCACTGGTCCACATTTGAAGCGGTGATGGGCAAAACTGTCCACAACAAAAACAGCACGACTACTCCGACCAACATATTAAAAAATATTTGTTTACATCATAAAGATTGATGATGATACGATATACGATTGTCAAGGACGATTATATCAGAAATCGGAAATATTCCAGCTTAAGATTATATTTTATAAGTCGACCGATAAAAATAAGGCGTGATAATAATTTTAAAGCCAGCTTATGAGCTTATAATTATAATTACAATTATAATTGCTTCTGAAATTGGCAAATCAAAGCTAGTTAATTTGGCAGCCCGCCAAGTATTTGTGTCTAATACTACTATATACTACATATACTATAATATATACGCTGCGGGTAAATGTCATTAATTATATTTTAGATTAAATGGATTCGGTGGAGAGGTGAGGCATATTTTTGTTACACAGAAATTAACATATCAGCATCCTGGTCACCCAACAATCACTGTCACGTGTCACGTGTCATACAATGTCTGACACGTGACGTTCAGACAATTCAGTTTTCGCAATTTCGGCCAATTTAAACAACTAGTAGTTTTATTGGACCTTTACCGATAGTTGAAATTCGACAACTAGACTGTGACGTCTGCATAACATGGGGGTTTGAGACTAAGACTATATTTTGCCAATAGCACAGGAAGCATCTGGTGACGTAAAACTGACCATGGGAGGAACAATAGCTATAGGACAGTACCACCAGACGGCGACAATGGGTGCTTCATTCCGCAACCATATGTTTGGAGGTGAACTTCTAAAGCTAAACGTCTACAAGAGGCAACTAATGGCTGGGGAAGTAGGGGAAGTAGGAAAGATGTTCTGATCCCCGGGGATGTGTTCTGACTTTGCTTTGAGGATTCTCTACTTGGGGACGTATTCTTGCGGAGACCATCTCTTATTCTCTAAGCTACTGAGAGGCACGGAACGATCACTGAAGAGCGGATTACATGCCCTGTATGTTGATCCCTGGGACATACTCCACTTTTCCGAGTCAATAGTCGTGTGGTGGATTTATCATAATTTAAATCAGTTATAAAATTATAATTAACTAGAAACCCGCCGCTAGTCGAAAGCTTTGTTCGAGGAAATTTTAAGCGTCAGTTATGTTTTAATTTCTCTTCATCATATAGCCCCAAAACAATACTTTTTACCGCATCAAAAAATTTCAATCACAACCAAAGTTATAAATATATATAGGTATTTATCGGTCATCGCTAGTCAATGGTCAAACAATCCAACAAATATGCTTTAGTTCCCGAACCCTGCTTCACTGAAAATATATGAATTACACATTTGAATCATTTCGGTAAATGTCAGGTCCCTCATCGTCTCATTTGATAGATCTGTTCAAATTGAAGTTTTTACGTATGAAAGAATTGTGATAAATAAAAAAGGAAATTTGTGCTGAATGAAATTGGTAAAATGACATAATCTATCAAATGACTTTAGATCCTAAATCAAATAGGTTAATAAATGGATATTTACGTAGGTTGACAAAACGTTAATTCAAAATTATTATCATTATATGAAATTATTATATGAAAATTGATTGCTATGAAAATAAGTAATAGCTTACTGGGCCGCGCTCAGCCTGTCATTCCGCCAAATCTTTATTATCTTATATGTTAAGGAACATAATAGCCTGGGGTCCTCAGGTAAGTAATAGCTAGTTATGAAGACAATCCTTGAACACGGGATTCTTTGCAATATTGCCCCGACTTGACAGCACCAAGATATCCTTAGGATCCTTAGGATCGTGTGTTCTTGACAAAGCTTTGTTCGAGGAAATTTTAAAAATCAGTTATGTTTTAATTTCTCTTCATCATATAGCTCTGTTATACTGTAGACATAATGGAATTTATCTAACAATGGCAACAGCGTTGTTAGTATTCGGATTCCCAAAACGATACTTTTTACCGCATCAAAAAATACCAATCACAACCAAAGTTATGAATATAAGTCATAGCGTGAGCGTAAATGTGAGCTAGTTTTGAAATTATGACGTAGTATACAGCATAACAACGCGCGTAGTTAAGATGTTTTTGCTCGCGCACGTGCATTTTAACGTTGCTACGCAACAGCGCAGTAAACCTTTGCTAAAAAACGACATTATTCTAACGGTTATTTTACCTCACTTCCGACGTTAATTATAAAAAATCTAAAGCCTAAATCAAAATTCTAAGAATGCTATAGCCTATTCCTATCCTTTTTCTACAACCCTGCTAAAAATGGCGAGGTTTCAACTCCATTTGCGAGCTGGGTTTGATTTCACCAGAGGGTCATTTTGAGGTCGATTTTCGGTGTTTTTTCTTCTATGTCCCCGTTGCCGGGGAAATTTCGTCAAGTTTAAATTATAATATAGATTAATTAATTAATTATAAAATTCTAAAACTTCTGTGCACCATCATACTCTTCGTTGGTACAATTCGAAATACTGTGGATCGTATTACAACCTTTTGAATGTTTTATTACAGAAAATAATAGTTTTACATGTTTACATGATAATATGTCTAGGTATTCCAATATCAATTATCATCACATCATATGTTCAGGTTGTGTCAAGTAAGATACTAGATAAACTACGAGACCAATGGGAGGTTCTGGGAGGATTCGGCACCGGATTGACGAGGTCCTAGTGAAGCACTTAAAGAAGCATCATTAGATCATGTCCTTGCTGAGAAAAAATCCTTGGATGATTGGATCGTTATTATAGTAGGGAGGTGAAATACGATGAACATTGAACTGATTATATTGTCCTGACAATGCTTTTTTTGTGGCTTAATTTAATAATTTTGATTTACCAGTGCTTTATAGTGTTACAGTGTTACAGTGTATAAATTATATTGGGGAATATTTTACCAAATTAATTGAGCACTTGAATTTGTAACTGAAACATATCTCGACTGGCCTTATATATTATCATACTTCCATATAATCAGCCACATTTTGGTAACATATGCCTGGTTACCAGGTTACCAGGTTACCAGGTTCAGCCAAAAAACTACTCCTACAATAAAAATGATAATTAATTTTTTAGAATCAATTTATTTGATTTGTCATCCCAGCCTTTTGAATTGCAGGGAAGCGAACATAAAGTCCCTCAACTAAACCAAGATGTCTACTAATTCACACATTATAATGTATGAATACATTATATACGGGAAGATGCCGCACGTTCTAGGTGACATTCTCCTGGTCAATTAGACAACGTTGAGGTGCCCAGCAAACAAACATACTACTTACAAACATACATTATTCATGTAAAAACTTGAAGGGTTAACAAGTTAAACGTTTCGAACAGCTTGCTTAATTAATAATTCGTTTATCCTCTCAAAGTCAATGCGCTTGTCTCACGCCGCAACAATGCACTGCTTAGAGTTAGTACGTAATTGCACGACCCTTGATGATATGCAGCCAGTTTCAGTTGCGAATACCACGTACTAAGAGTACTCAGAGTTAGTACGGGATAATCGCAACTGAAACTGGCTGCATATCATCAAGGGTCTGTTATACTCTCTAAATGCATCATGGGTGAAATAAGAACACGCCTCCGAGTGCTTTACCACTCCCAAACATTCTCTTACTGATTCTTTATCTGATCGTGTCTCTCTCTCTCTCTCTCTCTCTCTCTCTCTCTTTCTCTCGGTAACGGTTTCTGGCCTTCTACGGTAAAAGGGAAGCCTTCTCGCCGTGTCCACAGCGTGCAACTCCTGCTAGCTGCACGCCAGGACTCCCAAAGTATACACATAATCATTAAAAAATAAATTATCTGAGTGTTATATTATAAAGTTCTCAAGCGCTAGAGACGATGTAGGGGGGGGGGGGGGGGGATGTCGCCATATCGTCGCTGGAGACGATGTAGGATGCAGTAAAATGCAGTCTCCATTTTTACTGGCTCTAAAGTTAATTAATGGTTGTTCTTTTAAACGTACGTGACTTTCCAAAATCGTTAACACTTCCTTTACTTGATTAAGCCTCTAATTGATATACTTTGATCATTTTACTATAAATTAGCCGGTTAGATCAGCCATGTGATGCCCATATAAGGATACGTCACCAGTTTGCAGTTTCTGCCATATTGAATATTCATCATGTTTTTTAGTCAAATTGTCTGGTAACCCAATGATCACGAGTAACCTAATTAGCTTAAATAGTAGCCCTATTAAAGATTACCTGCTGTTTGCAAGGCAATTAACTGCAGTAATCTAGGTCATATCTGCAATCTGTTCGAGTAATTGAGTGCACACTTCTACCCTGTCGTGCATGTTGTCTGATATTGTTGCTATTGGAGCATACTTAACATTCTTTTTATCCCGTGTACACGTTCAATGGTAATTAATTACTATTACTAATTACTAATTATTAATTACATTAATTACTATTGAACGTGTACACTGTACACGTTCAATAGTAATTAATGCTGTTAATTATTCAAAGGTATAAGCCTTAAACATTATTTATATGACCGTATTTGATAACTGCTGTTGTTTTTGTTCTTATGATTTGTTGGTGGGTGTATCTTTATTTATTAGTGCAGTGTGTAATAATATATCAATAAACCTTCAGCTTCCTATGCATTCCTATATGATACAAAGACAACTCCATTTACGGACGTGAGGAGGGTTAGGACTCTGGTGGTTTATTGCTAACCATATGGGCGGAATACAAGCACTTTATTTCATTTCAATAATAATTTGCCAAGAATCCCCGGCTATCCTCACTCGAACACCCGGACTTATTATTACTTTATTATTTCCTTATTATTCCCCGTCGTAGTTTTAATAATTACTCCCCGTCGTGGATTTAATCATGGTCACAATTTCCTTGTTACAATAAACCGTACTTACTCAGTTAATAATTAATTAATTAATTGGTTAATTACAGTTTAAAGTTGGTCATAGCTCATGTTATAGTGATTTCTAATATTTCCTCCAATGAGATATTCAAGATCAGTTTATAATGATAAATAAACTAATTTACCGCTTGTTAAAAAGAAAGCAGTTAATTTCAACTCAAGATTAGTTCAGTTTATGAATATACAGTTTATATAATATATAATAGTCAGCAGGAAAAAGTTGTGATTATTTTTTATTTATACTGCCCAATTTGTTGCTAATCAACAATCACCCTTCTTTGTTGTGATCGTTCGCTTTCGCCGGATCTGTAAAATTTATATCTAATACGATTATTCGCTATGTAACAGAACCGAAAGTACCAGTGACAATGTTCTCAATATGCTTGTTCCTGTTTTGTGTCGTTAAGGGTGAAAGTGAAAGTGAAGATTTATCAACAAATGTCAAGAAGGAACTCCACATCGGTAAGTTAGGTAATTTTACTTGATTTCAATTATTTTTGTACAACGTATTTAATGAACTACAATGTCATTGATTTTAGGTTACTATTTCTACTAGTAGTAGTAGTAGTTTAATACGATCAAACCAGGCCATACATAATATAAATAAATCCCAAAGAGAGTGCTCGACTGCAGTTAAGCAGGAGCATCATAAGCCCTGATGATTGGTATTATGATTGGTATTATGTATATTGTTTTATACATATCATGAAACGGATCGATTGCCCACCATTTTGATTGTTTCAATTTGTTCGAATAAATAACAAAATAACTGAATAACTAAGGCGTGCTCTAACAAAATAACTTAATAACTAAGGTGTGCTCTACCACTCCCGCAATATGACGAGCTACCTGACCCCCTTCAACCTGGCACTGCAAGATGCTAACTCCGACCCAGACATCCTCCCTAATGTTCAGCTGAGAGCGGTGGAGACCCTCATTGAGAATTATTATGCTTCACCCTTCATCGCTCAACTGCAAGGTTGAATTTTCTTATAGATTTAGTTGGTTGATAAATAAGTGAATTATTTTATTTATTTGTTTAGTGTATTTATTTGTTTATCGTAGATGTTTGAAACTATACTTTTGAGAAATCAAACCGAGCTTTGTTCTTAACTTTTTTGGTCGATAACCAGTAATAATTTTATCAATAATTAGAAATTATTAATTACTAATCACAATTACTTGTACAGTTTGCAAGATGCTGAAGGATCACCCGATGGTGGCTGTGGTCGGCCCGTACCACTACGAACAGACTAAAGCTGTTTCTCTCATAACCTCCAGTCTGGGAATACCTAACATCACTCCCACTGCCAGTGGTCAGTTTATTTACATCTATAACTTTGATTTTAAACAATAACGAGGTCTGATCGTCATCTTCTTGCAGCGTTCGATGTCTGTGTGAAGGTAAAATGGTGACCATGACATCCTCTGGATCATGCGGAGGTCGAGTGTTATACAACTTCTGTAGTAGTTGCACAGAAATACTACTTTAATTTTCCAGTATCAACTGTTTAATAAACTTTTGTTGAGTCACATGTTATCTGAGATAAGTGTCGTTATATTAACTTTGGTGTTATCGCCACCTCCGCATTGTAACTATGTCCATCACTCATATCTAAATAAGTTGTGAACGATGGGTATCAGTTAGGAATATCAGAGAACCTCCAGAACGGTATAGTGCAGGGACAAAAGGAAATCGCGGCATGTGCAGGATCGCGATTTTTCCCATTTTTTGCGACAAATTTTATATGTCGCCTGTTTGCCTGTTTGGCTTGTCGCGATACCGCGATTTTTGGCCAAAATGATCGCGATTTTCTTTTGTCCCTGGTATAGTGTGAAAGTGTGAATATCTTGGCCCTGGCAGCTGGCTATATGGTATATATATTATTAAGAGTTCTCAAGAAAAGCGAGCAGGATATCCACTCCTCATATGGGCATCACGTGGCAATATCCACTCCGAGGACCCAGTGATAGATTGCAATTGCATTATTGTCCAACACTATGTGAACGCACACTTGTCTTAGTCTTTTTGGATGCCTTACGAAAATCGGGGAGTGAATTTTCTAAAAAAGTTTCTCGTCAGGAACGTTTCTGGAAGACGCGTTTTGGTTACAAAACATGTTCCATCTCAACCCCCTGGATACGGAACAAGTGTCCGCTATATTTGACATCCTAATGATGCTGGAGCTAAAGGACAGTCAAGTTGCTGTTATCAACACTGACGATATCTATGGTACAGGGTGGCCCATAAGTGACTACCCACACGCAACCTCTTAATAACTCACGTAATTCGTCTCCAAATTGCACCAAAATTTCAGAGATTATAGATATGGGTCAAACTTAGATTTCCTGAAAGTTTCGTAAGCCACGCCCAATTACAGTGGGCGTGGCGTGACACTCCCTTTTTTTCACTATTGTCTTCATAAAATGAGAACGCTTTAAGCTAAGAACTCAAAATTTTTTGCACACATTTGGCTTGATAATTGAAAACTTTTCCAAAAGTTTCAAGTTCATTGGTTTAAATATGGCTGAGTTATGACCATTTTAAAATCCATCGGATATGTGATCCGAGCACTCAGTCAGTGATATTTGCACTCAATTAGTGATCTCGTCACCCAATCTGATCAAGAGTAAGGCGTTAGCGTGTATTAATGAGGTTCATTAGGCTTTGATTGGATACCGATGATGACTTTGCTAGAAAGGGAAACACAAATTTTTACGATAAAAACCAGATCGTGACCTTTTCAGGAAAAGCCGTTCTCTCCACCACTTCATCCGGTCTAGTAGAGCCCCAGTGAATTGCATTCTGGGAGTTGACATATCCGTTTATATGGCCTTGTCGCTGTACCAGATTTCGTCCTCAAAGTAGGGATCCACATTCTGCTTGGACAGGAATGTGTTGGCGAAATCTATCCTCGATTGGAAATCACGGTCCAAAAGTTTGTGTTTCTTTGTGATTCGGTAGGCCCGGTTAGAAAGGTCTTGCTTTAGGATTCGCTGAAGGGTTCTGCTGATGTCTAAGGCAGGAGCTCGTTTCCGGGTGCCAATCTTAGGTGTGTCCATCACGTCACCAACAACCATCGTGATGTTTTCTACAGTCCTCGCAGTTCGTCTTCTGCCGACCCGGAAACGACAATTTCATCTGAAATTGTCGTTTAATCTGAGGGTAGAACTCCCCATTTTCTTTCTTCAGGTAGACGAACAATCGTTGTTCTGCAGTAAAGGGAGGATAGTGAACCATTTTCGATGATTCAATGGATGGTTCATTCCTTTTTATTGATTGTAAGGAACCTGTGACCAGCGATTGTAGGACTGAATCCCTACCGGACGGAATCACTACCACGCAAATATCGCTACTGGTAGTGATTCAGTCCGGTAGTGATTCAGTCCTAAAATATACCTCAATCCCTACCAGTTGATCTTAGTTCACTAGTCTAATATCATGACGTGATCTGAGCCGGTGCTCTCATGGAGTGCTTGCTATGGGGCCTGTCAGACATGTGATACACAGACTTACGTACGCAACGAGGAGCCCTAACGAGAACTGGTTTGGATCAAGTCATCCATAATGACCTGCTATACGACAATACAGTGATGTGAACCTTCACATGCTCGGTATCTCAATCAGCTAGCGGGAATAATATATAAACCCGCAACGCCTGTGTTTATCTTATACCACTATGTCTTCCTCATCCATCGAGTTTATTCCTGGCAGAAAGAAAGGCAGCCGCAACGTCCTCTACGATGGTCACCTCTACCACCTTAACAGAAAGAGGGAAGACAAGACCTACTGGAAGTGCAACAAGTGCAAGTCCCGCCTGATCCTTGTCCAGGACACCTTCTGTTCTGCTACCCCTCATGACCACGAATCTCAACCAGCAGAAATTGCAGCCCACCGCTCCAAGTCTAAAATGAAGACCCTCGCAGCTACTACTGAGAACTCAACTAAGCAGATTGTTGCAGACTCTGTCGCTGGACTATCCTTCGAAGCCTCGTCCCGGCTCAACTGTGATCCCAAGTCCTTGGCACGACTAGTCAGACGAGCCAGAATGGCAGCCTACTCCCATCCTGTCAACCCCATCTCCTTAGAAGACCTGGTGATTCCTCCTAACTACCTGACCTCTCCCGGTGGTGACACTATGTTGCTCTGGGACTCCTCCTACGACACCAACACCAGAAGATCTATCCTCCTTGGTACTGCAGACAACATCAACATCATCTATCAGTCAGATCACCTCGTCGTGGATGGAACCTTTAAGACCTCTCCAGACCTGTTTACTCAACTCTTCACAGTCCACGCCTTACACCCTACTGGATGGAGAATCCCTGCAGCCTTTGGACTCCTACCCGGGAAGCGCACCATCATGTACGAGAACATCCTCAACGAACTGGACTCCTACGGACCCTTCTACCCTCAGTCGGTGCTGGTGGACTATGAAATAATTATGCCTTTATTGCAAAGTTCAGTAGGGATCATATCAAAGTGGTTGGGTTTAGATATTAGCGGTAGTGATTCAGTCCGGTAGTGATTTAGTCCTAAAATATACCTCAATCCCTACCAATAGTGATTGGTAGTGATTCAGTCCGTTAGGGATTCAGTCATGTAGTGATTCGGTCCGTTCACCGTGACCAGCAGGGCTAACAAGCCCTGAAATGGTGACACCACCATAAATTCGTGTGATAGCGTTTTAGGTGCAGTCAGCTGTATAGGCCGGCCCATAAGCAGGCTGCAACCAATCAAGCGGTGCATGTGCATGTGAGCCAAACAGGCCATTAACCAAGTGACGAGATCACTGACTGAGTGCTCGGATCACGTATCCGATGAGTTTTGAAATGGTCATAACTTAGCCATATTTTAACCAATGAACTTGAAACTTTGGGAAAAGTTTTCAATTATCAAGCCAAATGTGTGCAAAAAATTTTGAGTTCTTAGCTTAAAGCGTTCTCATTTTATGAAGACAATAGTGAAAAAAAGGGAGTGTCACGCCACGCCCACTGTAATTGGGCGTGGCTTACGAAACTTTCAGGAAATCTAAGTTTGACCCATATCTATAATCTCTGAAATTTTGGTGCAATTTGGAGACGAATTACGTGAGTTATTAAGAGGTTGCGTGTGGGTAGTCACTTATGGGCCACCCTGTATGTATGCTTACTTTTGAAGCCATCTGTTTGGTTAACCCATCTGAAACACATTGTCTTATTTTGTGGCTCATTTCTCAATGGTGATCAACGTGTTGTTAATAAAAAGATGTTCTTAGATCTATAAACTACCTGTATTTGTTTTGAACGGTAATGTTATCTAAAACAGTACACTGTCGTGTTACCATGGTTACTAAACTCTTCAGGTGCTAGTCTGAGTGCTAAGTTTGAGGTTGATGCGCATCGTCAGCGAATGGTCGTCAAGGATCATATTGTTTTGCCCGCCTCCTCTTTTGCACGAAATATCAACATAAAGTGAGTCGTTTTAGTCATAGCACTATTGTTAAAGTTGGCTCTGAAATATCTACACTTAACTTTACCCACTTTACTTTACCCACTTTACTTTACCCCCTATTCTTTACCCACTTTACTTTACCCACTTTACTTTACCCACTATACTTTACCCACTTTACTTTACCAACTTTACTTTACCCACTTTACTTTACCCACTATACTTTACCCACTTTACTTTACCCACTTTACTTTACCCACTATACTTTACCCACTATACTTTACCCACTATACTTTACCCACTTTACTTTACCCAACTTTACTTTACCCACTTTAGTTTACCCACTTTACTTTACCCACTTTACTTTACCCACTTTACTTTACCCACTTTACTTTACCCACTTTATTTTACCCACTATACTTTACCCACTTTACTTTACCAACTTTACTTTACCCACTTTACTTTACCCACTATACTTTACCCACTTTACTTTACCCACTTTACTTTACCCACTATACTTTACCCACTATACTTTACCCACTATACTTTACCCACTATACTTTACCCAACTTTACTTTACCCACTTTACTTTACCCACTATACTTTACCCACTTTACTTTACCCACTTTACTTTACCCACTTTACTTTACTCACTATACTTTACCCACTTTACTTTACCCACTTTACTTTACCCACTTTACTTTACCCACTTTACTTTACCCACTTTACTTTACCCACTTTACTTTACTCACTTTACTTTACCCACTTTACTTTACCCACTTTACTTTACCCACTTTACTTTACCCACTTTACTTTACCCACTTTACTTTACCCACTTTACTTAACACAGAATGTGAGTCAGATCACAATTTAAAAAGGAACATTCTTCAATCCGATTAAGTTAAAACCAAAACATCTCACAGTAAAGAACTGGAGGCTATCAAAGAAAAGCGGATCAGAATATTTGTATTATTCGTGAAGAGCTCCTTCATCAACACAGTTCTAGATCAGGCTAACAAAGTTGGACTGGTTGGACCAGAGTTCCTCTGGATTAGCGGGAATAGTGCTGTTAATGACTTGGTGGGTGTTTTAGTTTTTTCTAAAGGGCACGGGATTCATGAGCTGGATATTAAGTCATTTAGATTTATTAGTAATCATAAGCATTCCACGTAATTTTAACTCTAAAACAGCCATTATTGATTCAACTATGCAATCATAGTATTAATATTACAGTACAATTTCAATGAATCATTCTGACAATATTACCTCCAGGATGACAAAAGAAACAACTTGCCAGTTTACTACGACGGATTACTGCTACTAGGGAGGGTCTCCAATGAAGACTCTCCTCAACACGACCGACTTGTAGAAGCGATGGAGGAGGCAAGGAGTACCAGAATTAACAGAATAGACTCTCTCAGTGCTCAGGTGATCCAGCTTTAATTTTTCCATCCACCCTTAAAAATGTAAAGCGGAAGGTTACGAATGGTTGTTTGTATTGGCGAAAGCATGATAATTGTGGTAGAATCAATACCAAGGAGCTGGGAAGCATTAAAGTAGATGGCAAAATGGAAGATATGATTTGCTCATAATTGACCTGAGCTATGCTTACCTTTTTATTTTTGCTATCATTTCGTGTGAAATTAATTACATTGGATCTGAAATATATCGTTTATAGGTATACGATAGCACCATGGCGCTCATAAAAGCGTTGGACTACCTTAACAAACAAGGAAAGTTGACTTTTGATGATCCAACCGTGAGATGCGAGCTAAAAAGCCTTGACATCAATAAAACTGATACTGAAAGTGAAAGTGAAAGTGAAAATAAAAACGGGAGTTTAAAACGGGTAAAAAGAGCGGATGACCACGGGTACACTATTCCGGCTGTGAATTGGTTTAAGGAGGGGTACCTCATAACTAGAGCCATGAAAGAGATCTCATTTCGGGGAGTGAGTGGTGGAAACATTTCCTTTTCAAAATGGGGCGGTCCTGCTAAGAACACTTACACGATAGTCAATGTTAGAACAGGTAATTTATTAGTTAATTATTAGTTAGTAATTATTAATTATTTAATTATTAGTTTGCATTTGTTCACAAGTTATTTCATCTTTCTAGACAAGCCATCCTTCATTTTAATATTCATCATTTGGATATTTTATAGTTTTATTCTTTAATATTTTCTATTGCATATTTGAGATACTCTTCTTTGAGATACTCTTCTATTCGCCCTTTACTTAGCCAATATTGCTATGATAAATTAGTCAACATGTGCATACAGACAAAATTCAAATGTCATATATTACGTATATTACCAAATAAAAAGGAATAGGTGCCTTAATCTTATTTGATGATAACGTTTTAAATCCAAACTTTCTACACAGGTGTGCCAGTCGACATTGGTAAATTCGAGGAATCTAAAGGAATAGGGTTGCAATCCAAACCCCAGTTCTACGGGGGTGACACCAAGCTGAAGAACACGATTAGCACGCACCTCCGCCTGGGTGTGGTAAAGGATCCCCCCTTTGTAAAGTTTACTTATGAGGAGGCAGGTCATGATAAGTGTCTGTACAAGGACCAGCTGAGGTGCTACGAGGGGCTCAACATTGATATTGTAGAGAAGCTCGCTAAACAGTATGATTTTACTTTCACTTTTGTTGAGGACCCGTCAGGAAACTTTGGAGCTCCGGTCTCTGAGAACGAAGAAGAGTGGGATGGTCTCATTGGTATGTTAAAAAGACGGGAAATAGACATGGGAATAGTAGCTTTTGGTATCAACAGCGCCCGGGAGAGAGTTGTAGATTTCGCTGTGCCCCTACTGACTGGAGGAATAGTGATGGCAATGCAGGTACTGCTCCTTCATAATATTTTAAATCCAGGATATAATATCCTTAGTAGGGTGTACTACTATAAACAGACTCATGGTCTGATTCGATCCTTTACAGTTTCTAATAAAACTGACTCAAATATTTACCGATAAATTGCAGTATAAACTTTGATTTTATTCATTTATTTATTTAGGAAGGAGGAGCAGTGGGAGCAGACGGATTCGACCCTCTCACAATGTTCAAAACAGACAGTTTCTTCTTCCTGCGCCCCTTCAGCAGGGAGCTGTGGATAGCTATTGTGTTAGCAGGTTGTGTTTTCTGCGTCCTGATATGGGTATTCGACCACTTCTCCCCCTACGGTTACTACGGCGGCACCAAACAGAAGCTGCTCTGTTGTAAGTGTGAGCAGTGCACTGCTAGTTTAAACGGAGACTTCAGTGTGAAGGGCTGCCCGTTTGGGGAGCAGCAGGGTATACATGATGAAATGAAGAGTCTCAATCTGCTGAACAGTATCTGGTTGATAATCTGCTCATTTCTGCAGGTGAGGTCCGAGTAGTAATTGTTACAGGCAGCATACCGGTTTATTTAGGGTTAAAAACCCCTATTAGTATTTAGTCAAATATTTCACGGCTTGCATTTCTAGAATTTACCTTATTATATATATATATATATTGGACGTTATTTGTCCTGAGTAGTGGCCCCTCGAGCGTTCATTTTAATATCCGTTCACGCAATAAGGTAATTTTACTCGTTACCCCACCAGATAGGACCTCCTGATGCCACTCCCCGGTGCTGGTCCACAAGAGTCCTGGTTACCGCCTGGTGGATTATATGTCTGGTCCTCATATCCCTCTATACAGCAAACCTGGCAGCCTACCTCACTGTAACCAGGATCCACAAGAATATTGAGACTGTGGGAGATCTATTACAATCAGGTAAGAGTAGGATCCACAAGAATATTGAGACTGTGGGAGATCTATTATAATCAGGTAAGGGTAGGATTCATAAGAATATTCAGACTGTGGGAGATCTATTACAATAAGGTAAGAGTAGGATCCATAAGAATATTGAGACTGTGGGAGATCTATTACAATCAGGTAAGGGTAGGATTCATAAGAATATCGAGACTGTGGGAGATCTATTACAATCAGGTAAGAGTAGGATCCATAAGAATATTGAGACTGTGGGAGATCTATTACAATCAGGTAAGAGTAGGATCCATAAGAATATTGAGACTGTGGGAGATCTATTACAATCAGGTAAGGGTAGGATCCATAAGAATATTGAGACTGTGTGAGATCTATTACAATCAGATAAGAGTAGGATCCATAAGAATATTGAGACTGTGGGAGATCTATTACAATCAGGTAAGGGTAGGATCCATAAGAATATTGAGACTGTGGGAGATCTATTACAATCAGGTAAGAGTAGGATCCATAAGAATATTGAGACTGTGGGAGATCTATCACAATCAGATAAGAGCAGGATCAATAAGAATATTGAGACTGTGGGAGATCTATTACAATCAGGTGAGGGTAGGATTCATAAGAATATCGAGACTGTGGGAGATCTATTACAATCAGGTAAGAGTAGGATCCATAAGAATATTGAGACTGTGGGAGATCTATCACAATCAGATAAGAGCAGGATCAATAAGAATATTGAGACTGTGGGAGATCTATTACAATCAGGTGAGGGTAGGATCCACAAGAATATTCAGACTGTGGGAGATCTATTACAATCATGTAAGGGTAGTATCCACAAGAATATTGAGGTTGTGAGAGATCTATTACAATCAGGTAAGGGTAGGATCCACAAGAATATTCAGACTGTGGGATATCTATTACAATCATGTAAGGGTAGTATCCACAAGAATATTGAGACTGTGGGAGGTCTATTACAATCAGGTAAGGGTAGGATCCATAAGAATATTGAGACTGTGTGAGATCTATTACAATCAGATAAGAGCAGGATCCACAAGAATATTGAGACTGTGGGAGATCTATTACAAGCAGGTAAAAGCAGGATCCACAAGAATATTGAGGTTGTGAGAGATCTATTACAATCAGGTAAGGGTAGGATCCATAAGAATATTGAGACTGTGGGAGATCTATTACAATCATGTAAGGGTAGTATCCACAAGAATATTGAGGTTGTGAGAGATCTATTACAATCAGGTAAGGGTAGGATCCACAAGAATATTCAGACTGTGGGAGATCTATTACAATCATGTAAGGGGAGTATCCACAAGAATATTGAGGTTGTGAGAGATCTATTACAATCAGGTAAGGGTAGGATCCATGAGAATATCGAGACTGTGGGAGATCTATTACAATCAGGTAAGGGTAGGATCCACAAGAATATTGAGACTTATATGGGAGATCTATTACAATCAGATAAAATCAGGTTCCACACTATTTCACGACCATTTATTGACTATTCTAAGACTATAATAAGACTACCTCTAGTATATTTAACAATGTACAATGTACAGGAATAAGACTACCTCTAGTATATTTAACAATGTACAATGTACAGGAATAAGACTACCTCTAGTATATTTAACAATGTACAATGTACAGGAATAAGACTACCTCTAGTATATTTAACAATGTACAATGTACAGGAATAAGACTACCTCTAGTATATTTAACAATGTACAATGTACAGGAATAAGACTACCTCTAGTATATTTAACAATGTACAATGTACAGGAATAAGACTACCTCTAGTATATTTAACAATGTACAATGTACAGGAATAAGACTACCTCTAGTATATTTAACAATGTACAATGTACAGGAATAAGACTACCTCTAGTATATTTAACAATGTACAATGTACAGGAATAAGACTACCTCTAGTATATTTAACAATGTACAATGTACAGGAATAAGACTACCTCTAGTATATTTAACAATGTACAATGTACAGGAATAAGACTACCTCTAGTATATTTAACAATGTACAATGTACAGGAATAAGACTACCTCTAGTATATTTAACAATGTACAATGTACAGGAATAAGACTACCTCTAGTATATTTAACAATGTACAATGTACAGGAATAAGACTACCTCTAGTATATTTAACAATGTACAATGTACAGGAATAAGACTACCTCTAGTATATTTAACAATGTACAATGTACAGGAATAACAATGTACAATGTACAGGAATGACTACTGGAACTGTGGAGGGTTCGATAACGGACATGCTGCTGAGCAATACCTCCGATCAGGAAATGGCTAGCCTCGTCAGGTAACACACGTGATGCCCAAATAAGGTATTGTTTCTTTTACACAGAATATGTGGGGATATTTTATGCAAAGATGAAGAAAACAAATCTTTGTGTTTGAATAAGGATAAAATTGCTGATTAATACCATCTCCACGAGAAATGTTATAAGTTGGCAGTAAAACACCACAATTCAGATAAAATATTTGTAGGAGAATGAAGAATTTATTTGTTAAATAGTAGTGTTGAAAGTAACAAACCACTCTCCAGGAGGATGAAGAATGTCCCCTCATACCAGGAAGGTGTAAACAGTGCCAGACAAGGTGACTACGCATTCCTCTACGGTTCAGCTCCTCTAGAGTACACCAGCAACTTTGAACCTTGCGGACTCAAAATATCCACTCACAGGTTATATCTAAGATTCTCACTCAAACGCCCGGACGAATGTATAACTAAGATACTCATTATATTAGTTTTAAACTCAGAAATATAGTAATTAACTCTTGTTACTAGCACTAAACAAAACTCTCAAGTCAGTATAAAAACAATTGATAACTGTTGAGGAATTGAGAGCATAAACACTACTAAAACGCACATAAACACAACTAAAACGCACATAAACACTACTAAAACGCACATAAACACAACTAAAACGCACATAAACACAATTAAAACACACATAAACACACATGCAACTACAGGCTGTTAGAGTACGCACATAAACACAACTAAAACGCACATAAACACTACTAAAACGCACATAAACACTACTAAAACGCACATAAACACAATTAAAACACACATAAACACTACTAAAACGCACATAAACACACATGCAACTACAGGCTGTTAGAGTACGAGCTCTCATTCGCTCTGCCTGATGACAGTCCCCTGATAGAGCTGATAAATGAGGGTCTGATCCAGATGAAGGAGAAGAACGAGATACTGCCAGCGTGGAGGAACTGGGCGGCTGGACCCTGCACTGGTGAGTGTTTATTATTATTACACGTCCGTAGTCCGTACCTGCACTGGTGAGTGTAGTTATTATTACACGTCCGTAGTCCGTACCTGCACTGGTGAGTGTTTACTATTATTACACGTCCGTAGTCCGTACCTGCACTGGTGAGTGTTTATTATTATTACACGTCTGTAGTCCGTACCTGCACTGGTGAGTGTTTACTATTATTACACGTCCGTAGTACGTACCTGCACTGGTAAGTGTTTATTATTATTACACGTCCGTACCAGTGGCGTAACGTTGCCTGTTGGCGCCCCCCGCCGAAAAAGCGCCCCCTGTTGGCGCCCCCTCCCTTTTTGGTGCCCCTCTCTAAAATTGAACAAATTAGGTGATTTTAGAGGATACGCCGGTAAAATCTCTAAAAAAGTGTGTATCTAGAGCAAAACGCGCAGTTTTGCTAGTACTTTAGTTAAGTTTTCGAAATTGTCACACATTCAAACGACGATTTGGCGCCCCCCCCCCCCCCCCCCCCCCCCCCCCCCCCCCCCCCCCTAACACGGCGCCCCCTCCCCCCACCGGGGTCAGCGGGGCCCTTCGTTACGCCACTGGTCCGTACGCTAATAAAGTGAGATCTTAATCTCTCTGGGACTGGACCTTTATACTTAAAAGATATATAATAAGATTATTGTTTATTTATAAACTATATTATTGTTTATTTTTAAACTATAAATAATTTCATAATTAGTCTGTATTGATTGATAATGTGAAGCAAAATTATAGCACTCCAAAAATCAGATCCCGTCTAACACACGTGATGCCCAAATAAGGTATTATCCAGTCTAACTCCAACAGGAACTCTGGCGGCTAAACCAGGCTCAAGTGAGATCAACGTCTTCTCCGTAGTGGGAACTATGGCTATCATCCTGCCTGTTGTTGCACTGTCTGTTATAGTCTTTATTCTGGAACTATTGAAGGGAAAGAGGAGCCCGAATAGGAACCCGGAACTTAAGGTAACATTTAGGTAACATTTAGGTAACATTTAGGTAACATTTAGTTTTTATATCACTGTGACAGGAACTTAAGGTAACATATAAGTAACATTTAGGTAACATTTAGGTAACATTTAGTTTTTATATCACTGTGACAGGTCGTTTTCATTCCGTTATACCTGCTTTGTTTATCAGAAACATACCTTTCCCATATTTTGTATGATATCTGATAAGTTACTTTTAGTTTTGTTAGTCAGATTATGGTATATTTTCAAAGACTAATATTATCTTTCCCTCGACAGAAGTTGCCACAAATTCTTTGTCATCTGGATCCGCCTGTTTGTTGAGTTGCCATAAGACGACCCCGCCTAATTTCCTATAGTTTTTAACGACAGTTACACATTTTTTAAGTGCGATCTTTATGATGACTGGACAAAATTTGCTTTAACTTTTTTCCCCATCAGATCCAGATTGAATATATTTTTGTGGTTCCTGACACTATAGACAACACATTCCTGCAGAAAACTGCTTGTCGCAAATTTGTTCACAGACATGTTGCATAAATCCCTAACTAATAGTTGATAGGACTCTGCATGACAACCTAATAGTAATATTTGGAACAAATATTTTACGAGTATCACCCGTTAATAGTTGAGTCGTTAACTAGTTACTATAGTTACATTACTAGTTACCATAGTTACACTGCGTTATTTTAGAAAGTTCTAAACGATCTGATAGCAGTTAATGACGAAAAGAAAGCACAGAATTACACTGTCAGCACTCGTTTTGTAAAGGTACTCCCACCCTGCATGGCATGATTACCTTTACTTTAGGTTGAACACAAGGATATATTTCACACCACCCTGCATGGCATGATTACCTTTACCTTAGGTTAAGGGGGGGGGGGGTTCACCCTGATTTTGTTGTTAAACTTGGTTTCGAGATAGCAGTTGACCAACAAACTAGGACCGGTGACCAAACTTTTGAGGGGGTCCCGGACCCCAACTGCCAAACGGTGCCCGCGGGGCAGCCACGTCCATATTTGGTCCAAATTAGGCTCAATTTAGCCAGAGCATGCCCAAAACCGAGATTTTATGTGCTCTTCTTGTAGCTAGTGGTCTCTTGAACTCGTATATGAATTTTCATCAAGATTGGACAAAAAATGACTGAGTTATGAGCCAAAAACCATATGACCATATTTGGGCATACGCACCAAATTTGATCGATTTTGGCCCATAAATTGGTCAAATATCAATATTTTTGAATAAAACTAACTTTATATGGAAGTTAAGTCTATACTACACATTCTCTATGATTATCAGCTCAGTATCTAACTAACTGTGTATTCTGTGTTTAAATAATCGCAAAAAATGAACAAAACCGCCCATATCTCAGTTCGCGATATTTGCAAAACTGATTTCGCTCAAAACAATTATAGAACTCAATAGGGTTTCAATATTTTTACATGAAATTTTCAGAATCAACGTAGAATCGCATTTCGACCTTAAGTTTTGTATTGGAATTTTGAGTTAGGCCTTTAAAAAAATTTGGCGGCCAAATTTCAAAATTTGCACTGCAAAATTCAGAATTTGGCCGCCGAATTTTTTATGTGCTACAAGAGCACATAAAATCTCGGTTTTGGGCATGCTCTGGGTATTTGGCTAAATTGAGCCTAATTTGGACCAAATATGGGCGTGGCTGCCCCGCGGGCACCGTTTGGCGGTTGGGGTCCGGGACCCCCTCAAAAGTTTGGTCACCGGTCCTAGTTTGTTGGTCAACTGCTATCTCGAAACCAAGTTTCACAAAAAAATCAGGGTGAACCCCCCCCCCCCCCCCTTAAACACAAGGATATATTTTACATGCCACCCTGTATGGCTTTACCTTTATTTTAGGTTAAACACAAGGATATATTTCACACAACCCTGCATGGCAAATATACCTTTACTTTAGGTTAATCACTATGACGTCATAGAACCGTGTGGTGAGTTATACTATAACGTAATAATATGACGTCACAACTTTTCAGTTGGTAACCGAGAAACCTGCGCACGAGGTTAAGAAGTTGCTTGCCAAGGCTTGAGTTCCATTTTCATGAAAATCAGGTAATTTGCGTAACTTAAAATAGCCAAATAACAAAGCTGTGTCGATGTACTCGATTTTGGTTTTATCTGAACCCTGATTGCAATTATTGAATGGGAAGTTTTTTATTACTGAACTGTCTCTATTTTTATATTCTGATCTCTACAGGAAACAAAACAAGCGCATCCGCTTAAGAAAGCTTCTAAGAGACAGCAGCAATGCTGTTGCTGTGGTTACGTAACTGTTGCTATGGTTACTATTCCACTCAAAAGAGGGCGATGGCCTGATTCCAGTGGATGATGATCAACCAAAACCTTCAAATTCAACTGATTTACTATGAACCAGTTTACTTTGACCACTACCAATTCAAATCAAGTACTTTGAATAACTTGACTCGTCAAAAACAGGCGCAACGAAATAATTATAATATAAAACCGCTTGTTTATAGATGGACATGTGCTCACAAATGTTTTAGATTTTATCAATTCCAGAAATTTAGGCGAATAAAAACACGGTTTCAGTTTGAATTTTGTCTTAATGATATTTTTCATTATTAACATTGAACAAAACATGTAATATTAACTTTACCCAATAAATAAACCTTATACTTTTTGTGATCAATAATTAAACTAGTCAACAAATTATCGAGAAAAGTCAGACACACCGATTGAAATCATAATTTAAGAGCTAATTAAGGTACGATATGATAATAAGTCCAATAAGCTTCAAAAAGTCATTTCTATTTTTCTTTTATTCCCTCTTATTCCCTTTACCCTCCGCAGGTGAATATCGGATAGCACCATCTTTTTTTTTATAGCTTCGACTTCAGCCTCTTTAACTTGTTCACTCTTCTCGACATCTCTTTTCAAGGCTGCAATTTCTTCTGTGTACCTGTAGTGAGATTACAGGTTTCAGGTTCTTTAGCACAGATTCGTCACTATCAGTTATAGTCCTATTTGATAAATTTTATGTTCATATTTGCTCCGATTTCGATTTCACCGATTATACGTCTCCTGGCCATACAACTGCGTGAAAAGTTTAGGTAAAGCGCCATATGTAAGTCTCGAGATATGCGCCTTTGTGACCCCCAAAATTGCCCCTTTGGATAGGGGTTTCGGCTTTTCAAGGGATATCTAAGAAAAGAAGTACTTACGGTACGTACCTTTAAAAATGACTGTACGGTACGTACCTTTAAAACTGAACCATATAAGGTATTGTATCACGTTGTAACCCCCACGGTCGTTTCACTATGGTGGTACGATACAGGGGGAGCAGGGTGCACTCGTGCGCGGCGGGTCATACAACCTTACAACGTATAACAAATAAGGTACAACTACAAGTACAAAAGCTACAATTTAGCAAAATTTTGTAATTCTGCAAAATTTTCCCATTTGGAAAAGCCCCTCCCCTCGGTTGATCACTGGGAGACTTTGGATTAGGAAACTGTACATTATGATTAAAAAGTAAACATGATATCTGACTGCTCGACTCGTAGATCACATAGGAGACGGTTGCTCTGGGGGGGGGGGATGTGAGACGTACGTGCCAAAGGCATGCAAGGGGAATGAGCCGATCAAGTGGTCTTAGGTATACAGCAGGGTGTCAGAAGCAAACCCTCAGATTGATCATTTCTGAAAGCTTGGGTAAGCTAAAATTTTACGCAAAATCGTCTACGCGCCAATACACAATAATTATGACACACTGCTGTATATACTGGAAGATAGAAGGTAGTAGTATCGCATTCTATCAACAGTCATGCTCTCCTTCTCCAGGTTCCTCAATTGTTTCAGATGATGTCAACAGGTGCTTGATTCTGACGGATATATCTACAGCAGGAAAAAATCGGATGACACCGTCCTCTCCTCTGCTTGGCGTTTCCAGAAGAGCAAATCTCTTAAATGTCCCTGCCGCTGCTACCTCGCTCTCACAGACAACACCCAGGCCACTAAACTTAGAATTTGAAAGATAGGATAATAAGTTTCAATGATTGACTATTTTGTAAGTATCTGAACATGTCTTGCAGATAAGTTAGAGCCAATCCTAGCATGCAAGGATCTATCGGATAGTAGTAAGATTTTTAACGCAATAATTTTCTTCATATCCAGACGGTGAAGATTGATCAGGTCATCCTCAAGATGGTCGTGTTAATTTAGTGGAACAACACATTAACGGTCCTGGAGTTGAAAAGCATTACTTGAATAGAAATTTCATCCAGCAGGATGAAATTAACTCCATTGAACTGGAAAGTAAACCGCGGTCAGATGGCTAATAAAGAAACACGTTAACTTTAACCATCTGCACTGTTATTGTTTGGAATAAATCTTAAATTACCCTTGAAGAGGTAGTCAGACTAAATAAATGGTAAAAACATTTAAGGATTTATTAGTTTATGAGCATGTGTTTATTCCTGGACCTCATAACACCAACTGGTGAGTAAAGAAGTGAAGCAGGCACGTGCAGCTCCACTGTACCTTTTGTTAAACTAACTTTCTCGGAACCGAATCCTGCCCTTCCCTAGAATTCGAACAAAAATTGAGAGTGTTTTCATTGTAGTGAACATGCGCTTTAAGAATTTGCACGTGTTGAAGCATTATTCAAGAAACAAAGAGCTTTTATCAATAAACGCACCGCGGTGGTTTAAAATAGGCTGATAAGTTGACATGGTGTGGGGAGGCCCTGTAAAACGAGCTGCGCCGGTAAGACTGCTGTAGTCAGAGAGCCCTGTGGAGGCGGGATTGAGAATATTATATAAGCAGCGGTCTGAGGTCCAGATATCAGAAGGTAGCCTTAGTTTTATTGGACTGTATCGTTATGACGTGTCAACTGTCTACCGGCAAGTTCCCATGCAACAACAATCAGCATCGTGATTGAAGGGCAGGGTCATTTTATAATTGCTTGGTTTGTTACCTTACACTTACAGTTGTTATGACCCCAATTTAATGTATTATAGATTTTCTGTAACGTTCGGCATTTTGTTCAATATTAATCAGGGTTTAACTGTATTCGGTTAAGAAAATTAGCTAATAGCTACCATTTGACTACCAATGATTGGGATTTGGGTCCTATTCTTGTTAAGGGCGGGGGGACCCCAACCGCCAAACGATGCGCGCAGGGCAACCACGCCCATATTTGGTCCAAATTAGGCCAAATTTAGCCAAATACCCTGAACATGCCCAAAACCCAGATTTATGGTGATCTACTTGTAGCTAGTGGTCTCCTGAACTCGTATATGAAATTTCGTAAAGATTGGACAAAAAAATGACTGAGTTATGAGCCAAAAACCATATGCCCATATTTGGGCATACGCAGATTTTTGATTTAGGCCTCCAACAAAATCTGGCTGCCATATTCTGAATTTTTCTGGGAAAATTTGGTTGGTCTCGAAATCAAGTTTCACAAAAAATACCCATTGGCAAGTAATAATTAAACAATTATGGTTTAAGTTAAAATAAAAATCATACTTATAAATTATCAGTATTCACTATTCAGTAATCTTAAACCAGGATAATGTTTTTGCAACTCCTAACAGCCCTGCTAGCCCTCCTTTGCACCATCCCCACTTCCTGCTAGTTATTCTAAAGTTTATTTTATCTCACTTTCGACGTTAATTATAGAAGATCTATAAAAGCCTTAATAAAAATTCTAAGAATGCTATATTCTATTCCTATCCTTGTTTTTAAAACCCTGCTAAAAATGGCGAGGTTTCAATTCCATTTGCATGCTGAAATTGGCCACGCGGTTTTTGGTCGATTTTCAGTGTTTTTTCCCGTTGCCAGGGGAATTTCGACAAGTTTAAAATATGATATAGATATTTCTATCGTCTCATAATACGTGTGTTCATTGTTAGGCCTTCAACGTCAGTGTCAAATAATAGCCAATGTTCGTATCAATTAAGCAGGAATACCCACTGCTTACAGTTCTTTCAAAAGCTCTACGTTAATTTTATTTCGCAGTTCTCCAATATAATATATTAATATATGATATGGACTGAATACTGTTGTTTATTTCATCCTCAGAATCAATATTTTTAAGGTTTACCTTTTTTGACCAATTCATGACGCACTGCTAGCTTTTCCATCAACATTTCTTAATCTCAGTTTAACTGAATAACTTTATTGCCATTTTATGACATCATAATTTGAGTATAATGGTAGTTTTATGGCAGACTTTATTAATGGAGCCAAAGACACAATTTGTTTGAATAGGATGTGCGCAATGTTCACGTTGATATAAGGTGACGAATGACAAATCACGTTGCTTTAAAGAATCGTTATAAGAAGCATGACCATTGGAAAGCAGTCATGAGAAAGGCCGCTATAAAATTTGAACAGATGCCATGCAGTTTAACAACTATCTCAAATCACTGATCAATAAGTAACTTAGACATCATTACCAGACAGAATGATATATTTTTTAAATAATTAACAATACTAAAGTTTTAAGGAAACAAGTCATAAATCTTCCTGAATCCTGACCACTAGTACGAACAACCTCCACCTACAACATGACTGCGTACAGAACCTCGCTTCTAATACTCCTCTTTCTGACAGCTGTGATCTCGGACAGACCCCACGTTGCTCTAAGGTTTGGTGATGATATCTCAAGTTATATAATGATTGCCCCGGACATGTCCCCACTAGAGGAACAGGTGTCAATCTGTGCCTGGATAAAGAAACTGAGGCCCACCAGGGACAAAAGGATTTCGCGGCATGTACGAAATCGCGAAATTTCCCATTCTCCGCGACAAATTTTATGTGTAGTTTAATGTATAGCCTGTTAAATTTCGCGGTACCGCGAAATTTGGCCAAAATAATCGCGAAATCCTTTTGTCCCTGAGGCCCACTTCTCGTAGTGGAGTGTGGCTTCATTACAGGACTGCGTATGATATCTATCAGATAGTTCTCTCTGATAACCTTTACTGGGCTTATCTCACATCTGGCAACACTCTAAGTAGTCAGACTCCGGTACATTCAGAGTGGTACCATGTTTGCATTACATGGTCTTACAGCAGCGGGAGGAAGACCCTCTTCTACAATGGCGTGCAGATTGGGACTGCCTCGTCGTCTGGACAGAGGTTCTCTCTCGCAACCGGCTCTCTCGTTATCGGACAATTTCATACCACCTACAGGATGGACGCTGGGTTTTATAGTAGCTACTCATTCGGAGGTGAAATCACAAAGTTGAACATACTGAAAAGAGAACTGACCGAACAAGAGGTAGCCAAAATGTACAAGTCAGGCATCTGTTTCAGCTTTGAAGAAACACTTAAAACTGACACCCATCTTTCGTGGGAGACGCTACTTTCCGATGATACCGAAAAACATGGAAACATTGTGAGGTTTAACTTGACCTGTCCGGATCACACACACGAGCCAACCACTGGGATTCCTACCACGGCTGCACCAACCACTGCTGTACCAACCACTGCTGTACCAACCACTGCTGTACCAACCACTGCTGTACCAACCACTGCTGTACCAACCACTGCTGTACCAACCACTGCTGTACCAACCACTGCTGTACCAACAGAAGAATCTGAGGAGGGCTGCAACAACCGCTGGGCAATCCTCCGACTGTCTGAGTTCTATAATAAGGTGAAGATAA